AAAAGTATAGTAGGGGGAGGACTGCAATGGAGCCAGTTTGGCCAGGAAAGGCCAGTTTGGCTCAGGAAGGCCGGACCCAGTGTTGGGTGATGAGCTGCCCACTGGGAAGTCCAAGACTAGAGTGAACACGGACTGACAAGCGGGGTAGCTTGGTGAAGTGTTCAAGAGCCGGCTCTAGTTCCCCCGGGAGATCGACTGGCCGATGCTCCCAGTCCAAGTGTGGGTGGCACTACCTACTTGGATACCTGGTGTGGCTCAACGGAACCTCGCTCTAAGCCCATGGCTAGAGCACCTAAAGATGAAAGGTGGGGAGAGTACCCAGGAGGCTTGCGTAAGGCCACGGTGTTCTGAAATGGTGTCCCAAAGTCCCAGACTGTGGAAAGGAAGAGGGGTAGCCCTCCGGTGTGGTGACCAAGGACACAGTCACACAATGAGGAAGTCCTAGAGGATAGTGGGACTTAGTGGTCGGGCCGGTGGGCCTCGATCTAGTGGCAGTGTTAGCGAACACAGCCAAGGACAGAAAGGGACTTGGTGGGGACCGGAACAGAGATATTGGGGAAGGCTATTCCCCATGTCTGTAGGCATCCTAAGGATGTTAAGGAGTGGATCTGGGACAACCACTCATGGACGGATGACCCAGTCTTTGAGAGACGGGATTGGAATGTAGGTGGTGTTGGACCACCAGTGTGACCAAGGTAAATGGGCATGGCCTTAGCGTAACGGGCCGATATGTTGGAGATACCTTGGGGTGTCGATCATGGGATCGGACATGTGGAGCACTTGGACCAAGTGCTAAGGTTGAGTGGCATGGATGCCATTCTCGGGGCTAGCAAGCCCCAAGTCCTGAGTTGGGCTTATGGAGGTTGTGAATGAGACTCCTCCAAGTGGTCGGAGGTGTGGTTAAGTGACTAAAGTAGAATGGAAAAATTAGTCGCTTACATCTATATCTTCCCTGTGATCCCAATTATAGTTGTTTACCACAACTACATTAGCCAGTTTGCTGAGTCAAACGCTCATCTAGATCACATCCTCAACTCAATGAGGAAAACCTTGCACTGTTCCCAAGATCCCAAAGTTGTTCTATCATTGGCCCTTTTCTATCCACCACCTTGACTACAAGTTTACACGTGAACTGTAGTGGAGAGCCATATCTTCCCGACTTGCTACTCCTCAAGGACAAGCCCACTCCTAGGACCTTCCGAGGCCAACACTAGTGGTGATATACTTCAGCACCAATAAAAGTCAGACTAAGGAACAGCTCCAATACCAAATTGTAAGCGACTAAATTTTTCCATTCTACTTTAGTCACTTAATCACACTTCTAACCCCTTGGAGGAGTCTCACTCACAAAGGGACTTCCTAGCCCGGAGGACCACTCCTCTTCCTTTCCATAGTTTGGGCCTTCGGGACAACATTTCGGAACACCGTGGCCTTACGCAAGCCTCGTGGGTACTCTCCCTACCTTCTACCTTTGGGTGCTCTAGCCATGGGCTTAGAGCGAGGTTCCGTTGAGCCACACCTGGTATCCAAGTAGGTAGTGCCACCCACATTTGGATTGGGAGCATCAGCCAGTCGATCTCCCGGGGGAACTAGAGCCGGCTCTTGAACACTTCACCAAGCTACCCCGCTTGTCGGTCTGTATTCACTCTAGTTTTAGACTTCCCAGTGGTCAGTTCATCACCCAACACTGGGTCTGGCCTTCCTAGGCCAAACTGGCCTTTCTTGGCCAAACTGGCTCCACTGCAGTCCTCCCCCTACTATACTTTTGGAGCTCACCAAACCCCCCAAGGTCTAGGAGACGAACGCTTTAGGCTTTCACCCTCTTAGACTCGAACTCGAACTTGGACTCAGACTCGGACTCAGACTTGGACTCAGATTCGGGCTCAGTCTCGGCCTCGGCCTCGGCCTCGGTCTCGGTCTCGATCCCAATCTCGGTCTCGGTCTCGGTCCCGGTCTAGCTTCCGATCTCAGTCTCGACTTCGGACTCCATCTCGGACTCCATCTCGGGTCCATCTCGGACTCCATCTCGAACTCCATCTCGGGTCCATCTCGGACTCCACCTCGGGTCCATCTCAGACTCCATCTCGGGTCCATCTCGGACTCCATCTCGGACTCCATCTCGAGTCCATTTCGGGTCCATCTCGGACTCCATCTTGGGTCCGTCTTGGACTCAATCTCGGATCTATCTCGGGTCCACCTCGGACTCCACCTCAGACTCCATCTCGGACTCCATCTCGGACTCCATCTCGGGTCCATCTCGGGTCCTCCTCGGACTCCACCTCAGACTCCATCTCAGGGTCCTTCTCGGACTCCACTTCGGACTCCAACTTGGGTCCATCTCAGGTCCAACTCGGACACTTCCACGTGTCATATGTTAGTCCTTTTAGGTCCCTTTTTGGAGCCTCGCTTATTGCTCGCTTCGTGCTCATTCTTTGAGCACTTTGTTGGGAGTTCCACTCCCACTCTTGACCTTTTCAAGTCAGAGCTTTTAGTCTAAATGTGTTACGCTCGTTTAGCTTTTGCTTCGGCCACTACCACGTAGCACCCTTTCGGCTCCACTTTGGGGCCTAGGGATTTTGTGTCTCACAGTGAGGGTTCTTGTCAAGCCAATGCAAGACAGAGTAAAAGAGAACTAACAAGATAAGCCAAGTATGTTTGGCTAAATAGACACTTAGGAATTCCTTCTTTATGCTCATTCGGCCAAGTGCAAATGCAAAGTTCAGTTTACCAACACTTGAACAAGAGGAGGATCTAGCAATACCAACCTCCTGCTGCCATGGCAATAATGAAAGAATATTCAAAAGGACTAGCTAACAAGTAACTTTTGATACCCGAAGTTATATTCGTGACAAGTGACCACTCATAAACATGGGGTATGAATGGTCTTGGACTATCAATGAGAGAAAGGTGAAAGGACAAACTTTAGTGTAATGGGCTAATATGTTAATGGTACTTTTAGGTGTTTATGTTAGGATTAAACACATGGAGCAGTTGAAAAAAATGTAAAGGTAGAGTGGTATAAAGGCCATTCACAAGGTTATTAAGTCCCTAAGTCAAGAATAGAACTTATAGAAGTTATAAGTAAGACTTCTCCAAGTGGTTGAAGATGTGGTTAAATAATTAAAGTATAGTGGAAAAATTAATCATTTACTATGTGGTATTAGAGCAAATGACGTAGGTTTGATTCCCATTGATTAGTTGGTATTTAAAAATAATATACTCTTGAGTAAGATATATTTTTACTCCTAAAATTAAAATCGTACATATTAGGCATCTATGACTACATCTTTTGTTTTGCAGGGCATCTATGGATGAAATTGTGGTATGAGTGGATGACTAGTTGTATCACATGGAATGGAAAAGAGAAAAACAATTTCCTTTTTTCTAGTTAAATTAAAGGGAAAGAGATAGAATGTGTTAATATTTACAAAAATTTAAGAAGCATGTAATCATTCTCACTTTAAAGGATCACATGCTAGAGTATTTCTTGTGATGGTGGAATGGTGGAGACTCATGCTAGCAACAGTACAAACTACACTATATCATCCTCAAAACAAAAGAAAGCTATTGAAACTAAAGGAGTAGCAAAAGGTAGGGCTTTTGTGTTTCAGTGTAGTTGGGTGAGAAAGGGATCCACTAGAGATAGTGCCCTTCAGTGTTGATCCTAAGGTTTGTGCAAAGGGGAGATGTAGATTTGGATATGGTATGGTACAGAAAAGGAGATTGTAACTGCTTCTATTATAGGTTTAGGCTTGCATGTATGATGAGGGAGAGTTTTGTTAAATAATTCCATTGGAGGAGACATGCCCATTTTTTGTATTAGTCCTTTAAGGAATATATATACATGTTTCACCAAAACAAGACTAACATATAAAGCATGATAGTGAGGTTGTCTAGGCAAACACAGTAAGCTATCACTTAGTAAATATTAAGAGACTAAATTCAATATTGTAGGAGTTTCTAACATTAGTGCAAGCTAACAAATTAGCTTCTCTAATTAGTTCAAATATGTTTAACTAATAGCACTTAAGAATTTTATCCTTATACTCTTTTGGTCAAGTGTACACTTGAAAATTAATTTATTTAACTAGCTTAGGCAAAGATTAATAAAGTAACACTAACCTCCTACCATCATGGTAATAAGGCAAGAATATCTGAAAAAACTCATTACATTTGGTTTGATGCAAATTTTTTTGGATTTTTAGAGTATAAATGTTGAATTAGTAGAAGGTGGAGAATATAATATATCATGTTAGTCTTCTCAATGCTCTACACCATTGGATAAAGATTCAAGATTTACACTATATGCTTGAGAAAACCTCATATCCTTCTAAAGTGCTATGTAGCATGTTACTTAAAATCATAATTATCCACTATTATATATATGTTAAATGTATTCTTATAATTCTACCACTCCCTTCCATCAAATCCACTATACTCTAACACAATTTAGAAATCCATACAATCTCTAGAAACATTCTTCACTACTTATGTTATGTCTCATCACTAACAGCTTAATAAATGATAGAGATATCATTCTACATAAACTTCAAAACTTGATACAAGCAGTGATAACATCAAAACTTTTAATTGCTAGAGGTAGCCACTTGCCATGGAATTGTTATATCCAATAATGTTATAAAGATCAAGATTTTGAAGTTATAAAGATCAAACATTGACAAAGACTTTATAAATTTTTATTCTACTGAATTTAGATTTCATTTCAACCCTTAAAACAATTTCAAAAAAAGATGCCACAAATGCAAGCTTAATTCCTTGATATACTACCTTCAAGAGTTTTAATGGAGTTTTACTAGCTAAAAATCCACTGAAAAATATGTTAAAATCCTAAGTGAAAATAAAATTTTCTGCTTTAAAAATACTAATAATAATAATATATAAAATCATTTTATTGGCAGTTTGGTGAGAGAAGTATTAAGCTAAGTACCTTGTTTTGTCAAAACTGCCAACTTTTCCTATTTTTGTGGCAAAATAATTTCTTGCACATCGAAGAAAAAAAGATAGCTTAACGTTTACAATTTTTTGCTGTGTTGGTTTAAGCTACACAAATGGTGTTTCTTCGTTAGTCTACCGGGAGTGATCCACAGTGACTCCAGCCGTGTAAGAGTTAACCTCCTCATAGAGGGCCGTGTGGATTTCCATGCACTTCTCCGTGAAACTCTGGAGCTCCTGGAAGAGAGGAGGGAGACTGCTTTGGAGTCCACACAGCGTGAACGACCTCGTGTCCTGGATCGCTCCCCGGAACCGCTGCTTCTCAATCTCCACTCTCTCCCCGAGCTTGTCCACCGAGCTCTTCTTCTTCCCCACGCTGCCATCCATCTGCTGCTTCTTCTCCAAGCTCTTGAGCGATATCATCTTCTTGCTGAGCTCCTTGGACAGCGCCTCGGTCCGGCGCTGGAGTCGGATCTCCTCCGCCTGCTTCGTCCCAATCTCGCGCAGCGTCTCCGACAGCTGCTTCATCCTGCTGCTCACCGCCTGGAGCGGCAGCTTCTCCAGCGCCTCGGCCCACTTATCGCTCATGTGTCGGATCTTTGGCACCACCGCCGCCTTCTTCCCGGACTTCTTCGGATTTGAGTCCGGCGGCAGGCTCGACTTGATCCAGCCGCTGAGGCTCCGCACGTAGTCCTTTTGCGTGGCGATGAAGCTGCCCAGGCCCGTCTGCCAGGCCGTGAGCGCCAGCTCCAGCTGCGCGGTGGTGTTCCGGTGAGACACGCTGATCGCTTCCAGGGACGACTCCCGCGGGAGTTTGAGGTGCATGACAACGCGAAGTTGCTGCTGGTGACACTCGTGCATGTTCTTCCACATGACGGCAAGCCTGTGACGGAATCCAAACAAGTCGACGTGAAGAAAGAAAAACTAAAAGCAAGTACCCTTCCAAGAGCTCCAAAAGTTGCGGAAGCATTTCTTCGTCCGTGATCTTCTGGATATTGGCCGACGAAGCTTCCATCGCGTGGACCGCCACAGTTATCTCAGTCTCCAAGGCCTTCATACTCGCTCTCGTCTTGTCTATGACGTCGGGCTTCGCCCCTCTAGCGTCCAAGTTGCGAAGAAGCCTGCGCTTTCGTTCCAGCTCCGTATTGACAGTCTCCCAGGCCTGAGAAGAAGAAAAGCACAGAGAATAAGAGCTTAGTTCCAGATCGAAGAAACCGGAAGTAGAAGCACTACCTTGACCTCTTCATACAATTTCTTCTCCCATGCGTAAAGTCGATCCAAAGTTCCAGCGTGACTCCCGGACATGCCACCAGCCTCAATGTCAAATCCACTGGGCGAGCTCAGAGATCTCGGCGACCAATGCCCGAGCGAAAGAGCGCTCAGCAACCGGGAAGAATGATCCGAGAAGCCTGCGGACGATCATCAGCCTGTTCTTCCATGAAACCATAGTTCCTTACCTTTCTCGAGCTGGACTTTGCCCGCCTCCAGCATTCTCACCACTGGCTTTCCAGCCTCGGAAGCCCGGAGAAACTGTTCTTCCAGCTCCCGGAGCACATCCACAAGCTCCACTGGAGCTGGCGTCTCACTCTTCTCGGTCGATTCAATTGATTCTCCCGCGGCCGCATTCTCTTTCTCTTGCACTTCCCCGTCGCCGGCACCGCCATCACCGCCGGCGCCGCTGCTGCTGCTGGCGCCATCGCTGGAGGAACCACTGGTCGACGCGTCATCATCCTCCGGCTCGAAAATCTCCTCGATCCTGGGCGCCGCGGGAGCGCCAGCGGCATTCTTCTCCTCCTCCTCTCCTCCAGCCCTAACGCTCTTCAGCTTCACCACTTCATCGTTACTGGACTCGAGCGCCGGAATATCCTCATCGTCCGACGGAATGTCCCTAAACCGCCTATTAAGCGGCGCCTCGGGATGGAATATGTTGAAGTACTCCCAGCTGGACGGCGCCGCTGGCGGAGGTGGCGAGGTGCGCTGGCGGCGGCGGCGCTCTTCCTCGGTGGCGCCGCCGCCACGTTCTTCCTCCCCGAATTGGGCGAAGTAATCGTTCTCGCTCGTGAAGTTCCTCCTTCTGGGCGGGGATAGCACCACTGTGACGGCCTCTGTGGGTGTGTTCCTCAGCATCATGGCTTTGATTCTCGAGCTCCTCTCCTCGATTTCCTCCGAGGAAGAGGGAGAGAGGGAGATCGAAACAGGGGATTCCTCCTGCTCTTCCTCTGGATCCTCTTCCTTGTGGGCGGTGCTCTTGGCTGTCGGCAGTGGAATCGGGGCCTCGCGATCGCTGGATCTAAATCCCAGCTCGCTATCCGAGAATTGCTTGAAGGCCAGGGACATGGCGGCGAGCGCCTGGACATAGCGGGCGTGGGAGCAGGCGAGCGCCGTGCGAGCTACCACCGCTTGCTTGACGAAGGACTTGCGTGCCTCGCACTGCCCAACAACGTCTTCGTTCTGGATCTTGGAGCTCACGCAGCACCCCATTTGCGATGATCTCCCTCTCAAAGCCCTCTGTGTAGTAACGTCTGGAGCGATCCAAGACCTGTTCTAGAGGATGCTCCAGAGCCCTTTTAGAAGAACTCCAGTTTGATCCTCGATTCTGCCGATAGTTCTAATGCTCGACAGCGAGCCCACCACTCGCCCCCAGTGTAAGGAGATGGAATCTCCACCATCGTTGTCACCATAGCCAAAAGCTTAAAGCCCTCTCACTCTCTCCCCGCGTGGATAAGCACGAAGGACTTCTCCCCAATCCAGGAAGACCAGTACGAGCGAGAAAACAAAAACAAACAAGCCAAACCGACCAAAACGATCCCAAACTAACACCACCACGAACACCACTTTCGCCCAGGATATGGAGGAATCAAGTCGAATCGATCAAACAGGCTTTCAAACAAGTTGGGAATGAAGAGGAAGAGAGAATCTAGCACGGAATAATCTACCTTTGGTTCTTGGCGCAACTTCCCCTTGGAAGAATCCTTGGTCTTCTGTGACACATTAAAGGGGAGAAGGAAATAAAAGAGAAGAAAGAAGACCTTCCTTTTTTCCCCTTTGCTTTTGGGATCCCATGTCATAATTGCGGGGCACGGACTCACACAATACATACAATAACCAGGGAATGATTCTTCCCATGCATGAATGTCTGATGAAATTTACTATGGTTTTGTTGTTTCTGGCCTATTGTTTAGTAGATTGTGATTGTCCAGGCAAACCATACAAGCTTGTTTCTTTAAGTTTTCACCAACCAGTAAGATGGCTTGGAATTGGGTTCATTGCTAATGAGATTTGGGGACCAACTGGCGGCCAGCTTTTGCTGTGCCAAGTTAAAAAGTTGGAATTGACAAGGTAGCCTCCCCCAAATTGCCGTGGAAGAACTTTTGTAATAACCCCTATCTAGGTGCTTGACCCCAGCTTCGTACGTATGTAAGCAATAAGTGGATGCATCATGCTCGTCCAAAGAGTGAGTGGACTGGATCAAGACAAGTAATGGTGGCCAGCTGTTAGTTTTTCTGCATTGTAATTTAGGTATTTTAATTATATAAAATGAGCTTATGTTTAAATTATTTAATTAATACTATATATCAAAAAGTTATAAAGTAACTTATATGAAAATTGACTTTAAATTTTAAGATGAAAAATCACACTATTTTGGGATGATAGCCATTAGAGTATAAAAATATGTCATTCAATGCAGTTAAAAACTAAATAAAAATGTAAACTAGCTGTTATAAAAAATTTGAAAGAAAGCTTAAGAATCTCACTAATAAATCTATAATAAATTAAAATAAAGAAACATTGAAATTCTATATAAATTGCATACATAAAACTAACATCTGTAAGGAAATTTAATAGATTTTTTGAAAAAATAAACCGTTTCACTTAATCTTTTATCTCATCAGAAAACTAAAACTAACATTATTATAAAAATTAAAATTATATATATATATATATATATTTATATATATATATATATATATATATATATATATTGTAACTATTAAAAACTTTCAAATTATCTTCTTCTCAAGCTTATTTTTATAGCAAATGTCTTAACATTCAACTTAAATTCTAAATTAAGAGTTTTAAAGTACAAAATATTAAAAGAGATCAAATATCTATTAAAAATTAAGTTAGTTTCAACATCATATGCCAAGCCGTGGTCCCTTCCCAGTCCCACAGACGGACATTGACCACAAAATTGACAGACGTTGACAGAGCTTGACTGGCGCTGGGAAAAGGAAAGAAAGCTCTCTCTAACTTGCCCTGCCACGTAACTGGAAAAAGAGCCAGAATGAAAGAGTTGCAAGCAAATATCCGTTATACACAAGAAACGAACCAACGAACGAACGAACAACGCATTAAAATCCAGCCATGAGTAGAGCGAGAGAGAGACCCCTTTAGCTCGCTCTCATTAAGAGACCACCACTTGCACTCTTCTTCCGCTCAAAACGATTTCATCTCCAGCAAGTAAGTCCTGCGCTTGACCAGTTCTTCCGCGGCTGTTTGAAAGGGCTGCTCAAACGCTTCCACCTCTACTCTATGATTCCCATCCCCATCGCCGCCACCACCGCCGCCGCTACCATCGCCGCTGGGACGTATCGAAACCAACGTAGCTCCTTTGAGAGCAACACCACCGGGAAGCTCGATGTGTGGAGCGTACCACAACTTGACGTTGAGGCTTGGAACTTGAGTCCGGTTGGAGGAGGCCGAAGATGGCGGCAGCGGCTTGTCCCGGGATTGCTGGAGCTGTTCCTTGTCCATGCAAAGCATGCCCTGGCCATCGGCGTCCGTGAGAACCAAGCTTTGCAAGCTCGGGTGCTCGGCGATGATGTTTTGGAGGAGATAGTGTCGCCCCGACGCAGCGATGAGCGAGCTTATCGTCCACACCACCCGGAGCTTGAAGCCACCGTCGGCGTCTGGAAGGTTTCCATCGTCTTCCGCCGCTGCTGGTGGTGGTGGTGGTGGCGACGAGCTCTGCGTGTCGGAGCTTCTCCTTTGAGCAGCACTACTTAGCCAGGAGGACGACGTCCTGGTCGAGTTCTTCCTGCTACTACTTTGATCGCCGCTGTTGATCAGCGCCGAGGCACCCAGGATGACGCAGCTCTCGAGAGTGCTCCCATACCTGGCCTTCCACTTGAGCAGAAAACCATCCTCGATCTCGAGCTCACCACCCGGGAGCTCGATTCTCAAGTGCTCCAAGTCTCTAAAGTTCTTGAGGACTTCCCCGGGAGAGTGGTGTGAGACGTCGGCGGCGGCAGTGGTTGCGGCGGAGGTGGAAGCAACCAAAGCTCTCTTTGGGACTAGCAAGTGTTGAAGAGCTTGGAGTGGCCGGACCATACTCCCAAAGAATTTTAGCAAGTGACCAAAGAAGCCTTTGCCTCGAGCGCTTAGATGGCCAGCCTCGTCCCCGGAGATCACACAGTCCACCTTTACCACCACATTATCCACCGTTCTAGCGAGAGAATAGAACCTCTTAGAGACCGCGCAGCACCGCCCCAGCGATTTCACGTCCGATACCTTGTTGAAGATGAGCAGCAGCAGAGAATCCGGCAAGCTGTCGAAGGGATCGACGAGGAAGATCATGAGCGGCGCCGAGAGCATCCGGCAGTGCTTGTTCTCGAAATTCTCGTGCCAATCCGGCATGGCTGAGAGGATTCGCGGCCCCAGAAACCCCAAAATCACCAATCTCGCACGAATCTCGCCTCTAGATGACGACGACGGGAACGGCGGCCATGGATTGGAACGCTGGAACGCGTGACCGGCGCAGCGGCTAGCACGAATCACAGCCAAGCAGTAGTACCTTGCAGCTTTTTCTCGATCCAGCAGCAGTGATTTGCTCGAGATCCATAGCCAGTGCCTCCTGTTCTTCGCTGCCAGCGCCAAGGACGTGTAGATCTGCGCATTCAATGCCCCGCCCAGGGCAGAGAGAAGAAAGAAAACCTCTCATCTCATCTCTCTCTCATACGAGTAGCAAAGGAAAAAAGAAGGGAAAAAATCAGTGATGACGTGTGCAGACGTGGCAGCGCCAGGACAGTCCACGTGGGTCGAAAGGAAGGATATTCTCGTCTGTGATTGTTGGCGTTCCACGTCACGGCCACATCACGCAGCATAGAATCCTTCTTGTTGAGTTTTAGGGTTCTTTGGGGATTTTGGTGATGGTGGATCTCTACCGAGTGCTCGGCGTGTCCCGGGACGCGAGCAGCGATGACATCAAAGCTGCATTTCGCCGCCTGGCGCTCAAGTTCCATCCGGATCGCCACGCCAACGCTTCCAAATCCGAGCAGCGCAACGCGTCGGATAGCTTCAGGCAAGTGAAAGAGGCGTATGAGATTCTTGGCAATGACAAGAAGAGGGAGGTTTACAATCGATCGGGGCCGAGATACAGCACTCCGGGCAGCAATCCTTCCTCGACGTATTCCGCCGCTCAAGCGGCCAGAAGTGCTTACGCGAGGACCGCGCAGCAGCACAGGGATTGGCGATCCGAGCAGCGGTACACGAGCTACACGGATGGATCTTCTAGTCGATCGTCAGATTGGTCGTATAGGGGAAATTATGCCGGATCCAAGAGGGACTACGATTATAGTGTAAGATGGACATTTCATCATGCTCCCAGTGAGGGCCCAAGGATGGTTCTTCGAGCCACTCTCTTCGGGTAAGTTCTTTAGCTGGTTTTCTTAGGAAACATTCTATCTTCTGTGGCTCTTCTCGATTGACTGAAGACATATTTTCTTTCAGCATGGCAGTGGTGACAATTATGCTAGCCGACTCGATGATGAGCAATGCGTGGAGGCACAACAATACCGGGGTAGGTTCCAAGTCTCTTTCTATCTTCAAAGATTTGGAAAACTCTAGACTGGACGTGTGTTTACTCAGAAATCATACGAGGAGATGGTGGAGCGTTTGCAACAAGAAAAGAAAGCTGCTAAAACCCGAGCGGCAGCAGCTGACAAAGATGAATAGACGAGGTATGTGCATACTGTATTTTCTTTCTTCAAAGAGAATGGATTGGTGGTGTAGAGCAAGCACACGCATTCTCTAAAGGAACAAAACAGAGGAGGAGATGTAGAGCAACCGGATAACTCGTAGAGTGTCCCAGCTTTGTACAAGTTACTAATCAAACTTTCGATCTGTTCAAGGCAGCACACCCTCTCTTTATGCCACCGGTTTCGGAGCGGAAGCTAGAACAGGCACAGGAACTGCTCCTGGCTGTTGTCGAGCGACCGAGAAACTTTGGAAGCCAGCTCCAAGTCGCTCCACCGCCAGCACTTCCAGCTCCTGCAGCAGCACCCTCACCAACTTGATCTAGTAAGCGGCTTATGAATCCTCCGTTTTGCTGATGTTTTACTTCTGGTTTTCTGTAGACGACAGGACCGATGGTATACACCAGCTGCTGGTTGCCTCCGTTTCTTCGATGCCGGTAATCAGATTTATCCTCGAGGGAGACTGAGACGGCGTGCTGCTTCACTCGGTGGTGATGATCTGTCGCAACTTTGGCAAAACACTTGACAAGGAGCTTGTTACTGGGCAAATCCACCATGAAGGCTCCGTTCTCATCGCTGGTACGTAGCGCATTGAATACCAGAAGCCCATCCCTGTTTTTACATTCCACCACCGCGGTCATTCCTGCAGGAAAGGCGATAAGTTTTCAGTTGCCGAAATCCTCAGCGAGAGCACGTACCAGGCAGGAATGACAGGCTTTGGCCCCAGCAGTCGTACCACACAACGTGGCCGACGAGTGTTCTTGTCACAGGCGTTGCACTCCGGCTTGGAGTCTGACCGCTCGAGAGCTGATGCTTCTTCTTTCGGTGGAATTTGTGGGCGATCTTCCGGTGCCTGGGACTGGCAGCCTCGGCCAGAGATGCTGCTGCCAGTGTCAAGAGGATCAAACAAGCCAGCAAGCGGGATTTCGAAGCGGCCATTTTCGAGGAGAAGAGGGAACAAGCAATGCAGGACTGCAAGACGGAAGTTTTATAAGCAGAATAGTACGAGGGGGAGGAACTACAGAAGAAAGGACTCGTCAAGCGAGGTGATCTGGTGACCAAACTTTGCAGAAAATTCCAAACTCTTCGTTTCTTTTCCTTTCCAGGCGGAAGAGTGGTCGGTCACTGGTGGTGTTTTTCGTCGGGAATGGAGTTTCTACCATTTTGACTTTGATGTAAGTAATGTCTAGTATACTTCACTCGCTACAAATCGCGAAAGCTCTAAGATCTCTGTTTTGATTACCAGATGTGACTTCGTCACTGGCAGCGAGGCCACCAATTTCTTCTTGGCGAAAAGGTATGCCAATCGTGCGCGTAAATTTCTCATTTTTATCAACTTTGTCAGACATACACAAGTTCGTTATTCATGGTTTCTAAGCTATCGATCACTCTTGTTATTGCAACTCTGTTAGTAACGAGCTACGGATCCATCGGTCTAGTTTCCTGGGGGAGGAGGAGCTGCGAAGAATGGGAACTGGAACGCTGGGAGCTGCGGGAATCCCTGGAAGGGAGGGAGCCCCGCGAGAGGTGGAACTTGCGAGAGGAGCGGCGGTGGATTGGCCGGGATGGGAGGGAAGAGAGACGTGATTGGGAATTGCGAGGCCGGGGACGATGGAATCCCTCCGAAATTCGGGAAAGAAATCGGTGGGAAGGACAATGGGTTCCCGAGATTCGGGAAGCTGGGAAACGCTGGAGCTTTCTCTTCGCCAAATTGATGAGAGGACGAAGAAGCGTCACTCTTGGATTGTTTAGCCTTGTCTTGCGAGCTCTCCGCGCACGATTTGATCGATTGGAGAGATTTGGATGGTGTGTAGACGAAAGGGCCAGTGCTGAAGATTCGATGGCCCTCGATTGTTGTGTAGGGAGTGAGAGAAGAATGCGATTTCTCCATGGCGGCAACGTTGCATGAGCGCTGCAGAGGAGTGATTCCTTTCTCTCCCGCGGCGACGCTCGCGGCGCAGAGCTTGAATCCATCGCCGGAGCCGGAGATTTGCGATGGGATGTCGAGAGAGAACCTCCCCTGCTCGTCCGTGGCTTGCTGCGCGGTAAAGAATGGACGCTGGCCGCCGACGGCTTTGCACGTAAGTGAGACCGTCATACCTGTAAGAGAGTGAGCGAATCCACCAAAAACTTTTTTACCAGCGCGCTCTACCTGAGAGGAAAACGCTGTTGCTCGTGAGATTCTTCTCGCGGCAGGCATCACACACGACGTAGCCCATCACTTTCCCATACTTTTCTCCTCCATTGCTGGTGTCGAGTAGCTTTCGCGCGTTGGCCAGTGACGAGAGCGCCGCAAGAGCTGCGGTAAGAATTGCGAGCAACGACCACAACCCCATCGCTGCTGGAGCCCCCCAAGCGAGATACGAAAGAAACACTCGACTCGACTCGACTCGGTTGGAGAGAGGTCTGCGTTGAAGAACTGGATGGATTGGCAAAAGCAAAGCTCTCGTGGGCGCGGGGGGCTCTCTCACTCCCTCCATCTTTTTAAGTTTGCTCTCTGCCAGATCGCAGACTGTCACGGGATTCATGGGCTCCGGTCGGCAGGGCGACGTAACTTTATGGTGCCACCACCCCCAAAGCAAACAACAGAGATTGAGCTATGGGCGAGAGGTTGATCCTGGAGAAACAGCTGTGGATTCGCCATTTAGTCCTTCAAGGACTTGAGCCTAAGAAGTGTATCCCTTTGCCAATGGAGGAGAAAAGTTGGCAGCGACTGCTCATCCAACACCTGACGCCGCTTTATGAATGCCATATGCCGCGCGCAATTTGTTGATGCAGCCAGCGGTATGAGAAAAGAGAGAGAGAGATAAGAGACAACACGGGACGAGAGATCTCACCGAATGAGTAAAGACTGCCGCATGCAATCTCTGAAGGTGCACGTCCATATCTAGAAAACGTACTTATATATATTTGCTCAAAACCTAAGGGTAACGAAAGAAACATTTATTTTAGGATCAAGCTTGCCTCCAGTTCGACTTTGAGGTAAATGGCATGGAGGAGCTGACGAGGATCCCATCTCCAGCGTCCTCCAGCGCACCAAGTACAAGGCTCCCTCGATGAACTCAACGTCGTACTTCGGTCGACGATGGCGACGATGGCAACGATGGCGACGACGACCCGGCCGAAGCTAAAGGTTACTGGCTTGCCTGGGCTGCTGGCTCCCTCACAGCGCTTTCCCTCGACGCTCATATCTTGGGGACCGGCGGTCTTGATCGCGTCCTCCACCGCGATGCGGAGGCTCTGCATAACTGGGATGATGCGCACTAGCGACCTGAGCTTGGTGTCGTGCTCTCTCCAGTGGCTTCAAACGTGCGAGCTTCACTCCCTCGTCTCTCCCAGGCTGGAAGTTTTGAGGGCTGGATTTGGCAGCGATCAATCTCTTACAGTCTCGAATGGGGCTTCGTCTTGTCTGGACATTTCGACGACGGCTTTGAGACGTTTGAGCTCACATTCGACGCCCCGAAGCTGGATATTCTATTGTTGGAATTGCGTCGAGCGAGTAGGACTCCCTCGCGCATCAGGATTTGAGGACGGCCATCTGTTCTTGACAAGCCATTTGAGAAGCTCCGTAGCTTGACGCTAATGGGATCCTGGGAGATGTCAGCTCTCTCGGTTTTCGCCTCTGGTCTCGACGCTCTCGCTTCAGGTCTTGACCATCAAGATCGAGATGACCATGGACCAGGTTTGGCCGCGTGGAGACGATCATGTCGACTGTCGTTCTTTTGAGGTGGATCTTGATCTTTTCGTCTTTTATTCAATGGGGGCTGTAGTGCAAAGATTTCAGTGTTCATCTCCACGTGAGGGGCACTACACCAACGTGGTGGTTCTCAGGGATTTACTTGGAGTTTATCAAGTCAAAAAGCACTGGCGGGAGGTGGCCAGCTGGGAACTCAAGGTTTGAGTGCTTGCGGGTGTCGTTCGACTTGCTGGTCGTGTTTCTTTCACACCCGAGGAGCTACAGCCATACTTGATTGTTTATTCTTCTTTATTTTCCTCGGATTTACTGTTTTAACCCTTTATTAGCTTTTGATTTGGCAAGATGTATCCCTCGATTGTCGTGTAGGGACTGAGCGAATTCTCCAAGGCGGCAAACATTGCATGAGCACTGTAGAGGGATTCCTCCAGCGCAGAGCTTGAATGAGCCGGAAATTTGGTCGAGAGAGAACCTCCACCTGCTCGTCTGAGGCTTGTTGCTGTGCGCCGCTGGCTTTGTTCTACCTGAGAAGATTCTTCTTGCGGCAGGCATAACGTTGGCCAATGGCGAGACTGCCGGGGCAAGAAGTGAGATAAGGAGAAAAGACTGTTTGACTCAAATTGTTCTTAAAACTCAAGGAGGCTGTATACTATCAAGATGGAGTTCCATATAATTCTCCATTCGCTAGGAAATCTAAAGGTCGGAAGGAAGGAAAGGAAAGGTTAGAATGAGGCCAAGGCCAATGGTTGGTGCACGTTTTCACCAAAGTGGGTGGCTCGCTGGTGTGCAAGCGATGGTGGCAGCTGCCCTGGGCCGTCTGTCGCCTGTCCTTCGGCTTTGAACAAAGCTCCCGGCTGCCTCAGGGAGCTCAGCGTCATGCTGTCATGGTATGGCGACGATGACCCGATCGAAGCTACGGTCACTGGCTTGCCTGGGCTGCTGGCTCCCTCACAACACCTTTTCTCGACGATCGGGATGAGCTCATATCATGGGGACCGAAGGTCTGGAGCGTGATCGCGTGCTCCACAAGATCCAGAGGCTCGAAATAACTGGGAGGATGCGCACTAGCGACCAGAGCTTGGTCTCATGCTCTCTCCAGTGCCTAGAAGTGTACAATCTTGGCTCGCACGTCTCTCCTGCGCTGCTCGAGATGCTGCTAGCATCATGCCCGAGACTGAGACATTTGAGGGCTGGAATTGGCAGCGACCGATCTCTTACAGTCTCGAATGGAAGCCTCAGTACTCTCGTGTTGTGTGGGGAATTTGGCGAGCACTTTGAGCTCATGCTCGACGCCCCGCAGCTGGAATATCTACTGGCGGGACTGCGTAGGACTCGAACGAGCATCCGGTTGCGCTCCCAGGATTTGAGGACGGCCAGGAGTTTGTACAAGAGTTATACAACTCTTGTGTTCTTGACAGGCCATATGAGACGCTGTGTAGCTTGACGCTACTGGGATCCTGGGCGATGGATCCCATCGTCCAGCTCTCTCGCTTCTCGCCTCTAGTCTCGACGCTCTAGCTCCAGCTTTCACCAGCGAGCATCACGATGACCATGGACGATATGTTATCTTGGTTTGGCCGCGTGGAGAAGATACATGTTGACTGTCTCCGTCTTTTCGTCTTTCTTCTTCTTACCAATCCTGTATTTGCAGTCCTTTGTGTCCGGGGGTGTCTCCAAGCGCAATGGTCTCATGGTCCATCTCCGCGTGTGCACTGATGCACCATGGTTCTCAGGGATTTACTTGAAGTTCATCAAGTCAAAGGGCTGTGATTCACTGCGCTGAGGAGGTGGCTAGCTGGGAACAGCTGATACTCACACCAGGATTTGAGTGCTTGCGGGTGTTGTTTAACTTTTTTCCTGGTTCCGTTTTTCTTGACACGCGCCTGGAACTACCGACATGGTTCTTGATTTATTGATTGTTTTGTTTTTTCTTCTCGTTGTAAAGGGATACTCATTCATCGAATTGAGGAGGTTTGTGCGGCGACGACACGGTGGGACAAGCGTCAGGAATTGTCCCCTGCGATCAAAGATTTCGGCTATTTTTTGCTTTGCATTGCATAGAAAAGCGTTTGCTTGACTGGTAAAAAGGAAGCTTTGATTTTGAAAACGCTAACAGCATGCATTATTTCATCGTTTTCCAGCACAGAAAGGGTTGACAGTGGAAGACTTTTTGTTAGCTTATATTGGCATTTCATTAGGTCAGAGGGAAAAATGCTAGAGCTGGATGGTTGCTCCCTCCTGGACGTCTGGGAGATGCGCGGCAGCTCGCCAAATGCTCGCTGGTGTGCAAGCGATGTCTCTCGCCTGCACTTCGACTTTGTGGTAAGTACCAGGCAGCAGCTAAAGGACGCGCGTCTCGTGCAAGGCTCCCGGCTGCCGCAAGGAGCTCAGCGTCATGCTCCGGTATAGCGGCCATGGTGATGAGCAGATGGAACCTAGCGGTTACTGGCTTGCCTGGGTTTCCCTTGAAGCTCGGGATGGAATGGGGACCGAGGGTCTGGCTCTTGATCGCGTGCTCTACCGCGATTCCGAGGCTCCACATCGCTGGGAACATCTACACTGGCAACCAGAGCTTGGTGCCGTGCTCTCTCCAGTGCCTAGAAGCCTGCGAGCTGCAGTCGCCCGTCTCTCCTGCGATGCTCCAGATGCTGCTAGCATCATGCCCGAGGCTGGAACTTTTGAGGGCTGGAACTGGCGACAAACAGTCTCTTACAGTCTCGACTGGAAGCCTCAGGGCTCTCGTCTTGTGTGGGCAACTCGACGAGGAGTTTGAGACGTTCGAGCTCACGATCGACGCCCCGAAGCTGGAAACTCTACTGATGCGACTGAGTCAAGCGAGTAGGACTAGCATCCGGTTGCGCTCCCAGGATCTGAGGATGGCCATGTTATACAGCTCTTGTGTTCTTGACAAGCCATGTCAGAAGCTGCGTAGCTTGACGCTTATGGGATCCTGGGCGATGGATTCCATCGTCCAGCTCTCTCGGTTCTCGCCTCTGGCCTCGACGCTCTCACTCCAGGTCTTCACCAGCGAGTACAAGATGACCATGGACAAAATCTTATCTTGGTTTGGCCGCGTGGAGACGATATATTCTTTTCAAGTGGATCTCCGTCTTTTTGTCTTTCTTCTTCTTACCAATCGTGTAATTGCAGTCGTTTTTGCCCGGGGGTGTCTCCAAGCGCAAGGATCTCACGCTTCATCTCCACCGCCACCCGACGTGATGGTTGTCATGGATTTACTTGAAGCTCATCAAGTCAAAGGGCTCGTCATTCACTGCGCCGAGGAGATGGAACTGTGCTTGCGGGTGTTGTTCGACTTGGTTATGGTCTTTCCTGGTCGCATTTCTTTCACGCGCGAGGAGTTACAGCCATATTATGATCTGAAAAATTACATCTAAAGGCAGGGAATATTCGACTAAAGTAAAAGCACTGTGTATTCAAATTCTAGGGCTAGCAGTGTGAGAGAAGGGGTGCTATGGTGCTAGAGGCGGCGGGCTGCAGTGCTTCCACGTCCCAGGAATCGGGTGAGGAGCTGACGCTGGTGGTGAAATGGGTTGGCAAGGATTACACGGTGCGGGTTTGCGGCGATGACACGGTGGGAGAGCTTAAGCGCCGGATCTGCGAGGTCACCAATGTTCTTCCCAAGCGCCAGAAGCTCCTCAATGTCAAGAAGGGATCCAAGCCCGCCGACGATTCCATGCTGCTCTCCGGCCTGGGCCTCAAGCCTGCGATCAAGATTTCCATGATCGGGTAAGCTCCCAGTTTTTTCCTTTTGTTTTTCTTTCATGTTCTGCATTGGATAAAAAAGTTTGGTGGTATAGTTTGGACTGGACTTCTTGAACAAAAAAAAAGAGAGAAGATTTTGATAGCTTGCTAGCATTGGTTTTACTCTTGATTTATTTCATCGTTTTCCAGCACTGTGGAAGATGAGATATTTGTAGATACCGTGGATGCTCCCGAGGTCTTGGACGATTTTGAGCTGGGGGAGGAAGACACCACCGATATCAAAGACAAAGATATCAACAAGGCTAAGATCCAGAGACGAGTTCAACAGTACAAGGTTAGAAATAATCTTGTGTTCCTGCACTTTTCTCATGTCTTTGATTTTTATTGCGTGCTTTATTCGCTGACAGTTAAAGCTGTTGAATCCTTGTCGCCCGGGAAAGAAACTTCTCGTTTTGGATATTGATTACACGCTCTTTGATCATCGTTCCACCGCCGAGAATCCCCTGGAGCTGATGCGCCCGTGTAAGTCGGTCGTGGAGCACACAAAGGCTGTGATCTTTTCTCATGAACTTTGCTTTTGACAGATCTTCACGAGTTTCTTACGGCTGCCTACGCTGCCTACGACATCATCATATGGTCCGCTACAAGGTTTGACTCCACCAACAAGAGACAATCGAGAAAAAAGAGGATCCTTTTCTTACTAATGTCGTGTTTGCTTTGCAGCATGAAATGGGTGGAAGTTAAGATGAAGGAGCTGGGAGTTCTCGGCAATGCAAGCTATAAGATCACGGCCCTCCTGGACCATCTTGCGATGATCACAGTCCAGTCCGAGAGCCGCGGAGTTTTCGATTGCAAGCCACTGGGTTTAATCTGGGGAAAGCTTCCAGAGGTAAAGCGTTTAGATCCTTCTTTAGATCTCTTATCAGTTTGTTTTTTTTTTTCTTGGTTTCTTCTTTCTTTGCTACAGTTTTATGGACCAAACAACACGATCATGCTGGATGATCTCAAGAGGAACTTCGTGATGAATCCACAAAATGGTCTCGTGATCCGGCCTTTTAAAAAAGCTCACATGAATCGAGGCACGGACCAGGAGCTCGTGTACTTGGCAGAGTATTTGCTCGCGATCGGCGACTTGGACGACTTAAGTGGCCTGGATCACAAGAACTGGGAGAAGTATAGCGAGCAAAACAAGCGGCAAAGGCACCAGTGATTACTTGGGATAATTTAAAATCGGTGAATATTCCTGGCATTGAGGGTCGAATCGTTTCCCTCTCTGCCGCATGTACAAAACAATCTAGGGTTCTCGGAGGAGGACGTGAGCCATGGCGCCGCGCGCCGCACACTGCGATTTCCATCTCCTCTGGCTCGAGGCGGTAAGGAATCTATGATCTGCATTCTCTTCTCGTTGCCGATCGGGGGATTTCTTGCGGTTGCAGCACCCCCGGGCGGGTCGTGCGCGCCGGAGAAGAAAATCCGGCAGCTCGGGAGGAGCGGCGTGAGCGATCGAGCATATTTGGAGGCATGGATGCCATGGCGCGTGCCGTCATCCGTGCTTCCACTCCAGCTTCCTCTTCCTCCGGCTGCAAAATGGGGATCACATCGCATGGAGCTTATCAGGACGACAATCCCATCGATTTCGCGCTCCCCCTCCTCATGGTCCAAATGTGTATCGTCCTGGCGCTCACTCGCTCGCTGGCGATCGTGATGAAGCCGCTGAGGCAGCCGAGAGTAGTGGCGGAGATCATTGTAAGTCCCGCGTTTCTTTCGCTCTAGATCGATGATCTTATTTGTTTCTCTTCTTGGCAGGGAGGGATTCTCCTTGGTCCATCGGCATTCGGCAGGAAGCAAAGCTACATAAACAAGATCTTTCCATCCAAGAGCATCACAGTCCTGGAAACTTTCGCCAACCTGGGACTGATTTTCTTCCTCTTCATGGTCGGCCTGGAGCTCGACTTAACAGCAGTGATGCGTACAGGGAGGCAGGCTCTGGTGATAGCCGCGGCTGGGATAACTACCCCATTTGCCACCGGAGTGGGAGTCTCAGTAGTTCTTCGCAACACCATCTCCAAGGAAGGCAAGTTCAGTGCTTTTCTCGTCTTCATGGGGGTGGCCATGTCGATCACGGCGTTCCCGGTGCTGGCACGTATTCTCGCAGAGAGGAAACTCTTGACTACCGACGTTGGCCAGATAGCAATGTCCGCAGCAGCAGTGAACGATGTGGTGGCTTGGATTTTGCTGGCACTGGCAGTAGCTCTCTCCGGCACCGATACGAGCCCGACAGTCGCTATATGGGTGCTGCTTACAGGCCTGGCATATCTGGTGATCATGTTTACGGTGGTCCGACGCTTTATGACTTGGGTGGCACATCACGTTACTGAGAACGAGCCCGTGAAGGAGCTCTACGTGTGCATCACTTTTGCCGGGGTTCTCGCTTCGGCCTTTGCGACGGATGTTATTGGGATCCATTCCATTTTCGGGGCGTTTGTTTTCGGCTTGATCATCCCGAAAGATGGCCCGCTGGCTAAGATTGTTATCGAGAAGGTGGAGGACTTTGTCATCGTACTGATGCTGCCTTTATACTTCGTTTCCAGTGGATTGAAGACAAACATCCAGTCTATACATGGAGCTAAGTCGGGGGGCCTCACTGTTTTGGTTATTGCGTCGGCTTGCCTTGGAAAGATCGTCGGCACTTTTGTTCCGGCTGTGGTCTATGGAATCAATCCCAGGAAGGCGATGACTTTGGGATTTCTTATGAACACGAAGGGACTGGTGGAGCTGATCGTGCTCAACATTGGAAAAGAGAGAGGGGTATGTTGTTTTTGATCAAGTTATGGTCTTTTCTGAGTCGTTCTCCGTGCTACAGGTGTTGAACGAAGAAACATTTGCAATCATGGTGATCATGGCGTTATTCACGACTTTTATCACGACTCCAATAGTGATGGCGTTGTACAAACCCGCGAGGACTCCCATCCCATACACGTTGCGAAAGCTGGAGATGTGCACAGTGAATGACGAGCTCCGGGTGGTGGCATGCGTCCATGGGATAAAAAACGTGCCCGGTATCATCAGCCTGGTGGATCAAGCAAGGGGAAGAAGCAGGCACTCGATGCGGCTCTACATACTCCACCTCGTGGAGCTGTCGGAGAGGTCATCGGCTATTGTGATGGTACACACGGCAAGGAAGAATGGCCGTCTCACCAAGAGCGCACGGGGCGAGAACCACATCTACGTTGCTTTCGAGGCCTTCGGTCATCTCAGCGAAGTTAAGGTCCGGCCAATGACAGTCGTCTCCAATTTCTCCGACATGCACGACGATATCTGTGCAACGGCAGCTGACAAGCGGGCAGCCGTGCTGATCCTGCCTTTCCACAAGATCCGCAGGGCCGACGGGGTTCTAGAGACGCTAAACACAGGATTCCAGTTTGTCAACGACCAAGTCTTGCAGCACGCGCCATGCTCGGTCGGGATCTTCATAGACAGGGGGCTCTCGGACGTGTACCACGCACCCGTGCAGCTGGTTCCCAAAAGCGTCTCCCACAGCGTGGCGGTGTTTTTCTTTGGGGGGCCGGACGATCGCGAGGCCTTGGCGATGGGATGCAGAATGGCCGAGCATCCGGGAGTGAAAGTCAAGGTGATACATTTCCTCTCCTGCTCCGACGGAGAAGTCGTCACTCGCAGGAAGTCGATCGTCATCTCGACTCGAAAGACGAGCAGGAAGTCCATCTTCCAGAGGGAAGGCGAGCAGCACCACTACCACGTCGATCTGGAGGGAGTCGACCTTGAGAAGGAGAAGCAAATCGACATCGACACCATCGCTGCGCTCCGGGAGGAGGACAAGCAAGGGATCCTGTACGAGCAAGTGCCAGTGGGGGACCCGATCGACGCAGTGATGGACACCGTGAGGAACTGCGAATACAATCTCGTCATCGTTGGCCGGGCTCGGGTACCATGCAGATTGATCGCGAGCTTGAACAACTTGGCGCTCGAGTACGAGGAGCTGGGGCCGATTGGGAGTGTCTTGGCCTCGTCGGATCCAAGTATCAAGGCCTCGGTCCTGGTGATGCAGCAGTACACGAATAAGAACGAGCCCGTCAACCCCGTGCATCCAACTCCCATCACGTCCCCAGAGGTGCCATGAAAGTTACTACTCTCACAGGCTGATCAATCAATCTCTCCGACTCGGGCTCTCTCGGAGAGCTATGATCGATCCACTGAGAGTTTGCTCTATTCATGTTATAAGAGCTGGTTACACCACGAGCTCAAAAGGTGGAGCCACAAACTTTTGTCTTCCAGTGGTTTTCTACTCTTGGCCATTGGAGAGTTTGTGAATATTTCGTTAGATGTATTAACTCCTTGATATATCCTCCATGTATAGCTAAATCCCGAGAAAAAATTATGCTTCTTGTCTACGAGCTTGCTTGTTGAATAGCTTCTTTGAGCTTCACACCCAGAGCCTTGGCCAAGGGAGGCGGCACAGCGTTACCGATTTGGCGGTGCTTGTTTTGCATGGTGCCAAAGAACTTGTAGCTGTCTGGGAATCCCTGCGAAAGTAAACACAACAAGCCGTGATCAGAGAGTGTCACACACTTCTTTGAAGAGGTTTGAGTACCTGTGACCGAGCGCACTCACGCACAGTGACTATGCGATCTTGCTCCGGGTGGAAACACATGCCGACCTTTCCCATGGGCTGAGGATCCGTGATCGAAGTTGGAAAGTTCCCGTCCCAGTCCAGTCTGCCAAACAGTCCCTTCCATTGGTTGTGTCGCTCAGCGGTGTTTGGAAGGCACCACGGGATTAAGTCCACTGTCTGGCCAGTGGATAGCTTGACCTGTTGGATCACCGCCAAAAGTTAGTAGAGACAAACAAACAAACAAACGCAGACGGGCTCCACCTTCTCATCTGGAAGATCGCGCCAGTCTGCTCCAGGGCGCTTTGGAATTCGCTGACAGCGAATAAAGTTCAGCTCGTTCATCTCTTTGCAAATGTGATCTCGGAGAACAGTTGCGCCGCCTCTAATGTTCTTCTGGAACCACGACTGTGGTTCATTGCCATACTGTCAGCCACCTCAATAGTTAGTACCAGAGGAAGAGATAAAACCAGTCACTTACAGGAGTTTCAGGTTTTTCTGTCCCATTCGCCACGGGAGGAAGGTCTCCTATCGTATCTCGGACGGTAATAGACCGCAATGGAGCACCGCCGCGGGTATCGTCAGCAGCTGCATAGACCGAGTTACCAGACAGCGGTATTTTCAGTTGCGCGCTCGCGAACACATGTACAGGTTCTGGCCAATCTGGTAGCACTTCATCTGGAGCTGCAGCCCAAATGATCGCACGCGTTCTGGACTGAGAGATACCATAGTGTCCAGCTTGAAGAATACCAAAACGAACCTGGAGATAATCGATTGAGGGACGACAAAAGATGAGAACAGTGAAAGCTTACCTGGTATCCCATTTCTAACAACGAAGCTAAAGTGAGACGAAAAGTCTGTCCTTTGTTGAAGGACACAAAATTGCGAACGTTCTCCAAAAGGAAGTAGCGCGGTCGGAAATAATCGGCATACGAGAGAAATCCCAGGACCATCTCACATTGGATTTTGCTCCAGTTTCTCTTGTTAAACCTGTTCATACCAGAAAATCCCTGAGAGCGAAAGAAACACAACGTCAACACTTGGCAAACACAACCATATAAGTTATACCTGGCAGGGAGGACCACCGCTAATAAAATCAACCTCACCCGGCCTGGGTAAACTACTTTTCTGGTTCTCGCTGAGCTTAGATGCCATTTCAGCAGCCTCCGGCGTTGAACAGCAATCATCAAGGTCTCCACCTATTTCCATAATAGATCTGCCATAACAAAGAAATTATTTCAGCACCAGTTTCATGTTTCGGTAAAACAGCTTACCTTAGCACGACGTTGCAGTTGTCAAAAAACACAGTGGCGGTAGGATGATTCATTTTAAATGCTTCTGCAGCTGCGTGATCATATTCTATTGCCCACTTTGTTGACGCGATGCCTGTACCAGAGGATATCAGGAGAGAACCACACGAACGAAAATACCTGATTGATGAATTCCTTCAGACAGACCACCACAGCCTGCAAAAATGTCAAGCATCGATAGCTTTTCGTCGTTTGCAGAAGTTTCTTTGGGTTGTCGATCATCTTCAACCAGTTTACCCTTTCCTTTTGCTGATGCTAAACTCGACGCCGCTGGTGGTTTCCCGAGTTTAACATTAGCTGGTAACTGGAAAGAAGACAAAATGTCAAAACATGAAACGGCATTTCGAGGAACGAACCTGTTTCACAGTTCCTTTCAGTGGGTCATAGACGCAGCTACAGAAAAACAGGTCCATTAGCGCTTTGGTTTCTGAAGCTACAGTAAACTCCTGCCGCTTCACAACGGTACATTTTCCCCTCACAGCAGCAAGAGATATCGTGGTTGTCCGTTCACAGAAATAGACCTGCATGAAAGGAAGTACAAAAGTACATATAAAGAAGAAAAACAAAACGAAGTACCTCGTGAACATCGGCTTTATAAGCCTTTCCCAAGTCGACGTCTTCGGGCCTGTAGAACTTCCGAACTGTCAATTGCTCCGCACCTGTTTTTGACGATGGTATGATATCCATGAGCTGGCAGATCGTAAAAGCCCGAAGACCCTTGTTTCTACCACCTTTGAACTTCTGAATTTCGTCCTGTGATTGAGTCATTATTTGAGTTATATCGACGTATACGAAGTCGTTGATGTGGTATTCCACGCCCTGGAACCGGAAGCCTTGAAGATTCGCAAACAGTGACAAGCTATCCTTTGTCTTTGCCTCTTCCCTTGATTTACAGCCTTCACACACTCCGGTTCCCAAAGCCAGCTTATCATGCGGAATGCGAAAGAAGCCGCCCTTCTCAGGAACATAGATAGCTTGACAAAAGTACTCTGTCGGAAGACCTTTAATTTCCCTGTCGCGACCTCGTTCCCGTTCTTCCTCGTCGGCCGTAGCATTATCCTTCCTGTGCATGTGACCCCACGGACGTCGTCTAAGTTCCACCGTCACGATCTCTTTCGCATCCCTGACCTCTACGTTGTCACAACTACCGGTGAGAAACAATTCCCGCTTGGAAGCTGCGTCGCCTAAAACTGTGCTTTCTCCTTTCACCAGTACCCTGCCGTGAACCATGCTACGCCCATTGGCCTTGTACAGGTACTCCACGAGTAAAAATGCGTCCTCAGCACCTTCGACTTCGTAACGAACAGCTTCGCCAGGCTTAATCAGATGACCACGAATAGCCTTTGCATCAGCCTTCTGATCTTGCTGGCGCCTAACATTTTCAGCTTCAGGTTCGCAGGTACCATCTTCATTGTATGTGGAACAATAATCGCTCCAGATGCGATTAACAAGCTGCGTCGTCGTTGCACGCATGGGCTTTGTTTTGGAAGCATCTGGCTGTAGGCTTCCCCTGGGATTAAGATTTCTGCCCCGAAGAAGCTTTTTCTTGGAGACCTTGAGCTTGGTATGGTGCCTTTCCTCCATCATTTTCAAAAGCCCAGTCACAAAAGAACTCTTCCTGATGGTGTCGTCTGCGAACTTAAAATGTTAGAAATCGGAAAGAACAGTAAGTTAACACGTAAAAACTGACCAGGGAATTCTGAAAACTGTTGCAGGAGGATCTGTCCGTGCACCACAACAAACCTCTCCACATCTGCTACTTTCGAGCCAACAAAAGTGTCACTATCTTGAGTTTGGTCAGTAAGCCGCTTGACGACGTCTGGAAAAGAAAGACGAGAAACGCGACTTACAACCTTCAGCATTGTAATGATGTGCCTAGCCAGTCTCGCCGTTTTCAAAACTGGACTATACCATGCTGCATACTGAGCAGATGGAGGTCCCAGCCTGTACCAAGCACCAGCCGTCCTGATAGAGATACTCAATATCTTGGCACCGAACTCTATCTTCCATTCCTTAATTGAACTCAAATAAACTCGCAGAAGGTTCTCGTTATGCGTGGTAGAAGCCGCATCATCTACGAACAAAAAAACACAATAAAATGAATCCTTTCGGCTGGTAGAGCTTAGCTGACTTACCGGGCTCATTGTCCATACAATACTCAAAGTTGTCCTCCGTTACAAGGCCCGAGCCGAAGACTTCGACGTCCGTCTCTGCACCGCTAACCATGGGAAGAAGTTCCAAGGACACAAACCGCATGTCCGAGTTGTACAGGGCCCAGTCATAGAGCATGCGGTGCTCCAGCTCCCCATCATCACCGCTCATGACAAGGTACTCGTCCGTCTCCTCCTCTTCAGGCTTGTAGAACTCCGGAAATGGATAATCCACCGCAAGCTCGTCCTCGTTGATCTTGATGTAACTCTTTGCCTTAGCTCCGCCGCTCCTCATTCTCATGGCTCGCTCCTCCCGTTCCTGGAGAAGCTGCGCATACTGCGCATCGCCAGCATACTGATCCGTCAAGCCGCTTGAGTGCTCGGACGACGGATTGGAACCGTCGGGCTCGTTGATCGTCAAAGTTCCATTCTTCCTCCCATGACACGCCAAACTAACGTCCTCCATGCGACAAGAAGCCGACTCCTTCTCTAGTGCCACCAGCGCTGGCAAGCCCGTAAAAACCTGGTCGCCATCCGAAGCACTTACGTCCATTGCCTTAAGCTGGCTGGACACAAAGCCTCCGATCGAGATGAGGTACTCCCGACTAAAAGGCTGCGACAAAGACGTCTTCTTGGACCGTCGCGCTACCTGTGCCACAAGGCTCTCGAGTGGAAGCTCTGGATCACCACCATCCGGCTTGGAAAGAGCCTTAAAGACCGCTATACACAGGGACGACTTGTCCGCAAGAGCGCTGTACCAAGTCTTGTAGCTGGCGGCCGGCTTGCAGCAAATGTAGTCGCCAGCCTCGGTGCAAATCCACACGACGAGCACACCATCCTCGTATCCGGAGATGCACCAAGACTCCAAAGGCCCGAAGCTTTGGCATCGAAACCCCCGCTGCTTCTCCAAGAGCCCCGTCACTGGAAGAATGGTCGCCGTCACGAAGAGCGGCACCGTCTCGAGGATCTCGATCGGCTGCTCCGCGCCCTGCCCGTCGTGGACCACGAAATCCAGGAGTCTCCTCTGCGGCTTTTCTTTCTTGCCCTCGCCCCCTTCTCGCGTCCTCATGATCGCCGTCGCCTCGGAATCCGCCAGACGGGGCTCCGGCTTAACCTCGATCACATTTTCTGCCTCGATCGCTTCCTCTTCGTCTTCTTTCTCTTCCAGGTTCTTGATGGCCGCCCGGCGGGGCCGGGGCCGCTTGCAGCCGCTACCAGTGTTGTGAAATGCGGTGACGGAGATGATCTCGACATCGCTGGAGTCGCTGTGGTGAGAAGCATCAGACCTGGGCGGATTGCGGGCGGCGGGGGCCGCAGCATTGTTCTTCAAGCGCTTCTTCCTCCCGCGATGAACCGCCATGGCCGGACTCCTGTTTCTCTGTAGAACAACCTAGCCTAAAAAGCCCTTAAACCCTACAAAGAGCAGGGCGCGCCCGATATTCCCGCTTCAGGTTTTGAATGGGGATTCTCAATTAAAGTCGTTAAGAATAATTATTGTATAGCTGTTACCGTTTTATAAAATCAAACCTGGTAAGGTGATGCTAATGACAATGGTGTCCAGTTTGGTCGAGCCCTAACCGAGTGCTGAGGTGGCAAGTGGGAGTTCGAGAGGGAGGATGGGAGGAAAGAAGTAATGGGCATTGCATGTGAGCATGAAGGGTGTTCTATAGTGTGTTTTAGTGGTTTGGAGGTTGATCTCTTTTGATTTCTCTGATTTCTTTGCTTGTGTCCATGAATGGAGGGTTAGTCCCTATTTTGGTGGAGGTGAGGGTAGCCACATTGCTGAGTGCTCTCACAAGCAGTGTGTGGCTATCCATTCTTGGACCATATGTGGAAAATTGACAATTGCTAAATTGAGCATCATAAGTGATTGTTAATTTGAGCAATATAAATAGAGCTTGCTTTGGGTGGAGACTTTTAGTGAGATGCTAAAGGCGTTGCTAGAAAGTAATGCAGAAAATCAAGGCAAAAAGCCTGATTTTTGAGGCATAGCAAATGAGCCAAACAAAAGAGCTGTTTGAACATCCCATGCATGTGAAAGGAAGCTTATTGTGGCTAGTATGGCTAGTGTTGAGCATGCTAGCATTTCTTTTTTGGGGGAATGGCAAGTACTGAGGCAAATGCTACTCAGATGTAAAGAATGAATGAGAGAAAATCCCAAAGGTTGTATTCATTGAGTAAATTGTCAAAAGGCCAGGGTTAATGGCTCTGAAATCAACAAGCTATGGTGGTTTAAAATTTTTTCAAGTTTATGTAGAAGATTGCAGAGAGTTGCTTTTGATTCTAGTGGTTGGTTACCTTAGCAAGATAAGAATAAGTGTGAATGATGTATTGTAAGTGGATGTTGGCTTGGCTTAGAGCATGGAGGTTGAGGTTTGATCTGTAGATATGATACAAATGTAAAAATGTAAGAAGAGAAAATGGGTATGTACATCTTAATTTAGGAGGAAAGCATGCATAATATTTGTTAAATTTGGTATTTTGTTTTGTGTGAGGACACACAAATTTTAACGGGGGAAAGATTGCTACATATGTAACGGGCTAAGGTGACACTAATGACAATTTAGTCAAGCCCTAACCAAGTGCTAAGGTGGCAAGTGGGTGAGCCAGGGTTCTTGGTTTGAGAGGGAGGATGGGAGGAGAGAAGTGATTGACCTTGGATGTGAGTACATGAAGTGTTTTGTAGTGTATTCTGGTGGTTTAGAGGTTGATTTCTCTGGTTTTTTTTGTGTCCATGAATGGAGAGCCGGTCCCTGTTTGATGTGTTAAATATGTTAGGATTTAGGGTTTAAAAAGATTCTAAGAATATTTCTACTAGGGTTTTACGGTTAATCTTATACTATTATTAGCAATTACCCAGCAAATGCTGGGTGGCTGGCAAATTTCATGCCATTTTAAAAGATTTGCTGAGCTTAGCTATATTTGCTGTTTGATCAACTTAAGTGTCTAAGGATAACTCTCAAAATCTAGAAGAAAGAACTTTACAAAAAAAAGTCTTGAAGCTAAACTAACCTATCATAGTTAGTAATTGATTCAGTAATTAGAAGCTTTACGGAGAGAGATCCATGCATCACCAGAAGCTTGAAATGATTCAAGCCTCTTGATTCTATACATCTAGATGTGCAAATGATTGATCGTGGCAGTGGAAGCTATGGTAGTAGAAATCGAGTTAGCCTAGGAAAAGAATTGTTGAGAAAAAAAGGGATCACTCACTTGTAGCCACATTGCAAAAGTGGATGTGATGAGTGGTAATCTCCCTAAACCCTACTGTGCACATGCCTTGACGTGATAAAATTTAAGGAGCTGGAGAGCCAACATGGATTCACAAACTTGCTCATCCATCTTGTAGAAATGCAGCGGTAGAGAAAAGCTATGGGGTGAAAACGTTTCATCGTAAATATGCGTGCATAGTGACTTTACTTCTGTGACTGGTTTTAACACATGTCCTCAAACTCTGATCTGGCATTGTAATTAACGAAAAGTTCAGCAAATTTGCAAAAGAAATAATACCTTTGAGTCATCTGCTCCTGACCCAGCACCATTTTATTAGTGCACATGTCAAATAGTTTTGGTTACAGAAAAAAACAGAAAGAATTTCTTACCAAACATCTGTGAGCATAGCTTCTCCACTTGAAGGAAAGTAACTCAGCCTCATCTCCAAGCAGACACAGGTGAGTTCCCTAGTGACTATGACTAGGACACACTTCTCTTCACCACCTCGTAGACAGCAAATCTGCAAATCCGCACCAAGGCTCACTCGTTGTTATCTCAGCTTTCTCTCCACACATTTCGAATTTGCAGCATGTATTATGTTATTTTATTTTTGTCCATGATATCTTACTTGTCAGGGAGAACTTCGGTTTACAAAGGCATTCCTCTACAATGTTCTCTTGCAATGGTTGCAAGTCCAGGGTGCTCATCTTGCTCATGAAATTTTTGAAGTTAAAAGTGACATTAATAAAACTGATCAGCATTTGAATCACTCGGCCTCGGGGCAGCAATTGCCCGAATTCCTAGTTCCCAGCTCCATCTCGACCGTTTTGGACGCAACTTCGATTCCAAGAACCCTAAAAATAGCAAAATAAATGTGAAAACTGAGAGTGCAGTCACAACAAAAATAATGGCTACCCTATCAGCACTCCTTTGCACTTTGTCGTTTCTTCGCAAATATTGAGCAACCATGCCTGAGGATAAGAGCAGCATTTGAGATACAGATTGATCCATGGCCCCCCTAACCACAGCTCTAAAACTCCAAAACAGAAGTCTCTTTACTTTCCAATGTAGAAAAAAAAGAAGGAAATTAATACAGATAGACCACTCAAAGTTCCACTGCCCCGATTTATCTCAATAAAGATTACAACTCATATGATGAGGAAAAACCGTTCATGACAAAAAATACGAAGACTGAGATCAGAATCAGAATCTCTATAGCTTCTCTCCGCAAATCCATGCCAATTCTTTCACTATGTCAAGAATAGGGAAATCTTACATTAGGAATCGATTCATCTGCCTAGCTCAATCCATCAGTGCTGACGTGTGCAATTGAACTGAAATTCAGAGAGAGCCTATGCCACAAAAGCTGGATTCTATCCTGGCACACTCCCTCACCAGCCCTGCCTGTGGTGCTGCTCACGCACCACAAGCAGAGCAGCCATGGAACCCTAGTAGTGCATCACGCCCTCTTCCCTCCCTATGCTTGCCACCCATTGACCGCCACAACATTGAGCCAATATTCTCACAAACCATGGCCCTTGCCTAGGCCTGGGGCTTACTGGGAACCATGGCTCCCAACGCTGCCCTGGGCTTGGAATTGGACGGCTGCAGGGGTTTGGGCCCTTCGTTCTTATATATATAGATAAAGTTGTAATATAGTGCAATGTATATGCATTTTTTAATTCAATTTCAAGGGATGTTAACTGTTGGTTACAAGAATATAAAATGCAACATGGCAAGGTAATATTTTTCTTGTAAATTCAAGTTTCCTCATTCAACAAGGTTTATTTATCATTTCATGATTATAAAAATTTAATTAGGATCCTAGATCATATCACTAATTAAATTATATGTTTAGTATTATTTTATTTTTAGTAACTTCCAAACAGCAAAAGCTTATCAATGCTAATATATAGGTTTTAACAGGGAAGGTATATAGCTAAGCTATAATGGCTATCTTAGTCAGAATGTTTATAGTTTTAATACTTAAATTTTTCTATTTGAAAGAGACTATTGCACCACCAAGTGTGAGATTTGGAACGCCCAGAATATTAAATACTCAAGATATGGTAAAAGTTATTGGCTTAATTACAGATTTAATAAATAAAATTCACTACAAAACAGATTATGCTCGTAATTATGGAGATGGAGGATCTGTTACTGTTTCATGTGGAATTGTAAATATAGAAATTAAATCAAAATACCAATGCTCTATAAGTGAGACAGTGGTACAAACAAAGGGAAGAAACTTAATAGCTGGTTTTGAAAGACTTTTATATCCATATATAAGTATGCTTAATCAAAAGCTTTATGATTATTTTGTAAATGAAAATGATGGTTTTTTCATACAATATAAGCTAGAAAAGCGGGAAGAACTTCTTCAAAAAGATAAATTGTTTGATAGTTTTTATTTATGCATTCTTGAATCTAATACACTTATTAGCCCTATGATTTTTTATAGTGGTAACTTTTTAGTCTCTCCTAATAAAAAAGCTATTTTAATTTTAAAAACAGATTGCAATCTTGTTCTTTATTTCCAGAAAACTCAAATTTGGGAGTCACATACATCACAAAACATTAGTGTTTATTGTGTATTAAAATTTCAAACTAATGGTGATTGCATTTTATACAATAATTACAAAATAATTTGGAGAACTAATACTCAATTTACAAGTTCCTTAAAACTTTTTTATTTTACTGTTCAGAATGATTGTAATTTGGTAATTTCTACTGTAGAATTTCCAAATAAAATATGGTGGGCATTAAGTTCTCATTCTTTATGTTAGAACAACAGTTATAAAATAGATAATAACTCCCCTAATAGATAAATTAGAGCATAAGTTTATAATTATATTTCTGTAATACTCAAACAAGTTTATCCTAAGTATTACTAGAACCCATTTCAATTATTAGTATTAAACCCCAAAAATATGTAATTCATTTGCCTTAATTAACTCTGTGTCCTTGATTTCATCACTTATTTCAGAGAAGCTTTCATAGTGGATTTTTTCCTAAACGACGTTGCTTTTTGAGCTCCAAACAAAAAAGTATATGTCAACGTGAATAACCAAGTTTTTTTCTAACTAATATACAAAATACTTGTTTAATGATTAAAAACATGGGCTTTAAAAACCAAAAGGAACATTGCCAAAGCCCCAGAGAACGAGAAGAAAAAAACAAACAGCACGAAAGTACACAGCCAGCGTCCAAAAGAAAACAGCAACCTGTTCAGAGAAAAAAGAAGACAAACCAAAAAGGATGAAAAGTAACGAGCACCACGAGACGAAAGCGATGAAAACCTGTGCTCCTCACTCTTCTTCCACCACCGTCATGTAACCTGGATGTGCGCTGCCGTGTGAGAGTTTGCAGGAGGCCGCCAGTGTTAACACCGAAGGAGCCCAGCTCCCAAGGTGCAAAAAAAGGATGGAACCAAACAGGCTCGTCAAAAACTGAGCCTGCAAAAACTGGACGGTGCCCTGAAAAAATCCACCAGCAGCTCCCCCAAGCTAGATAACATATCCATCTTCGTCGCTCGCGAGTGTGTGGAAAAACGGCCTCTCCGCATAGGCCCTCCAAACTTTGATGAAGAGAAAAAAAGGAAACCTGCGCTGCGTAGTGATTCACCCAACCTGTGCCTGTTTGCCTGCCCGTCCTCGTCGCTAATGCAATGCAAAATACCTTTGCACGAAAAAAAGAAACTGTAGCCAGGCGCAAAACCTGCTGCTCGCTGCACTGCCACTGCTGCTGCCGCTGTTCCACCACCTGGTATATGTCTAGTACCTGCCTTGTTATTGCTTCCTGCCAGTAAGTAGCCTTCTCCCCAGTCCATCGTCCAGTCCATGAGATCAGTAGCAAAGGTGGCACCTCCACAGGCCCGCCTCAAACCACTCGAGCTTGGCCCGGCTAAGCCCCTTGCAGTCCTTGACGTTGAGCGCCTCCAGAGTATTGCAAGCCGTCTTCATAGCCAGCAGGCTCCGGTCCGTCACGCGCCCGCACCCGGCCAGAGACAGCGTCTTCAGAGACGAGCCTTTGGCGAGTACTAGAGCCACCATGCCGTCATCCGTCACGTCGCAGCCGGCGAGGCTGAGCTCCTGCACTGCCTGCGGCCCCTGAGCAACGTATCGAATCCCCTGGTCCGTGACGCTCGCACACCCGTCCAGCGTGAGCAACCCGAGAGAGGGGCAAAAACTCGCTACCGCAGCGAGTGCCCGGTTCGTCAGCCTCGTACAACCGGACAGGTTGAGAGAAGTTAAGCCGGACCCGCTCGCTGACAGGAAAGGGACCAGGGACTCGTCCGAGAGAGCCGAAAGGCCGCTGACGTTGAGCTCCAGGAGACAGGAGCTTCCAGATCCAGAGAGGCTAGCCAAAAGCCCGGCTCCCACTCCAGTGCAGTTGACGATGCCCAGAACTTTAAGAGACCGGGACCCGCTCGATAACAGTGTCGTCGTCATCGTCGCAGCCGATGCCGTAAAGGCGCACTTCTCTAGGTGGAGGCCCTCCAGGAAAGTGCAGTCCTTCACGAAAGTGAGAAGCTTGCTCTCGTCCAGCGACGTGCAGTTGGCAAGAGACAAAAACTTGATCTCCTTGCTCGTTTTCCCAACGGAGTCTAGGAGACTGTCAGTGAGGCCGGGGCATGCCGAGATCTGGAGATGCTTGAGCTGCCCCATGCCGGAACTCTTGCCAAACAAAAAGAAGCCTTCCGAGCTTATCTTCTCGAGCTGCAACAGCTTGAGCTTCTGGAGTGAGCCGCCGTGTTCCCCAACCGCAACGAGACCTTCGTCGTTGATACTGAGCTTCTCGAGCTTCATGGCCTTCAACACCTTGCAGCTCGAAACAACCGCAGTGACGCCAACGTCCCCGACTTTGTTGCACCTGGAGACCGAGAGGCACGAAAGCTGAGAGCAGCGCTTCCCCACGGCCTGCAGTCCTTCGTCGCCAACTTTGTCGCAGCCATCCAGGGTCAAACTTGAGAGGAGAGGACAACCGGCCGCAATTGCCCGAAGAGCAGCATCTCCAAAGCCAGGACAGTTCATGATGTTGAGAACTTTGAGCTGCGGGCATCCCTTGCCAATCCAGCTGAATCCCACGTCGTCGATGTTTGGGCAGTCCCACACGGAAAGAACCTTGAGGTTCCCGCAGCAGATGCCAACAGAGGACATGCCAACGTTGCTCACGGCCTTGGACAGCTTCTGCCGAGGACCACCCTTGATGATAAGTTTCCCAAGGCCACCTCTAGACTGGGTTCCGAGAGCGACCACAGCCAGTCTAACATCTGTAGCTCGCTTTCCTTCCAGGCTCCTCTTTAGCTCGTCGCCACTGCCAAGAGAAAGCTCTTGCTCGTCGTCCTTGATCTCGCTCGAGTGTAAGTGGCTCTGGAGCATCAGCCAGCGTGTGCACACGGAAGCACACGCGTAGCGATCGGCTGGAGCGGCCACGTACCGAAAGACTTCGACAAGGAGCTCGTCCGGAAGCGCATTAATGAGATCCTTGGGCTGGTACTTCTTTGCTGCCGGGACCGCTGTTGGTGGTGGAGTTGGAAGGAACCTCTTGGGAGCATTGTAAATTTCAGTGTTGCCAATCTCGCTCAGTTTCCTCCTCCGCCCGGTCTGGAGGCTCTGAAGGCCCCGGATCAGCTGCGAGCAAAGCTCCTCCTTGCTCAAGAACGCATACGAGTTCTCGTGAAGGAAAGACTTCTGGAACAAATGGTTGAAACGAACATCTTCCAGCTCCATGGACATGGCTTCGCGACTCAAGAATCAACAGGCCTTTGGAAATGTCCTGCGTGCAGCATGCTCACAGAATGAGCGCGAGAAAAAAAAAAAAAAAAAAACCTCAAGCACTTACACAATAGAACTCCCAGACCCATATGAAGCGAAGAAATGCGCCAATCTCACAGCCTCGCCTAGCAATTTCACTGCACCAACACGCGCGTAAAGCCAAAGAACACTAAGATCCAGCCGCAAAACCCTAAGATCGAAGCAAATCCCCTCTAGAGGCCGCAACAATCATCCACATACCTTCTCGCTCGCGCCGTGCCGTGCCGCGCCGCGCCGCGCCGCGCCCGCGCCGCTCTGAGATCGAGAAGCTCTCACCACCCCCTCTCTCTCGCTCGCTCTCCTCGCTCGCTCCAATCAATCGCCGCCTCGCTTCCTCTCGCTCACAATAAAAACCCTCGCCCCCCTCACCCAGTCCCTCCCCCCTCTCCTCTCGCGCACAGCAAAGATTCACCCCCCCTTGCCCTCCCTTACACCTGGCGGATATTCGCCCGCCCTGGGCATATTCCGCTCCGTCGGGATCGAGACGGCGAGATCGACGGCCCTGGTTGGACTCGCGTTATCTACGACATCCCTTAGTTAATGGTTCAATGAATCCAGATAATATTTTCATCAACAAGGGGGGCGCACATCCCTTTCAATCCGGATCTCTTTCTCTTTCCCTTTCGCGTATAAATTTTACTCTTTCTTTTTTTGCATCTTTCGCTTCTTTGTTAGCTGGACGCATCATGCGAGCCTTTGAATCCAGCGCTGCAGTGGTTCTCATGTTTTGGCAAATACAATGCACAAGCACTCACCAGTCTGCGTTTCTGGTCTTCCATCACAGTTTTCGTCGCATAGGTAAGTTTACGGCGGCTCCACTCCACGCGCTTTTCCACCAACAAATCTCTCTACTTTGTTCATTCTTGCTTTCGTTTTGTTTTTTATTTTCTTTCCAGTCACTGCTGCGGCCTGCAGTGCTGCAAGTGTTTTGCTTAGATTTGAGCAAGTAAAGAAACGAACTTACAGATCATCGCAGGCCACAGAGTTCCAGGAAGTACGTCACGAAGGAGACAACTCCCAGCTGACAAGTTAATCTCGCCCACGAACTTGGCTGCTGGTGGAGCTCCAAGAGATCGAGAGCGTTGCGAGAAGTTAAGGCCTGCAAGTAAACAAAAACCATCTCCAGAGTTACTAGATGTGGTTAGCATAAGAGAAAAGCAGCAGCCATTTGTTTTTTCTCGATTCCCTTATTTTACGCGGCTCAAATGCGAAAAACCCATTGGTTTCACTCAGTGGTAACCCCCACAGATCCTTCCCAAACATATAAAACACCAGCCCCACTAGATATCTGCATAACTTGGGCCGGGTGTGACTAGCTGCAAAACAGTCCCCTGTGAAATAAACAGCAATCCATCGCGAGAGGAAGCTTACTTTGTTCTCCAGCACTGTGCTGTCGGGGATCACGATTTTATCGGCCTTGGCATCGATGACAACCTTGCCCTGTGTGACATCAAGTTGCAAAAAAGTAAAAATAAAATCCTCTCGGTACCTTTAGCGTGATATCTCTACCAAACCATACATCTCCCACCACTTTCAAGCTCTCCAGATACACGATGCTGGGAATGGCCTTGAACCTTTCCATGAAACTTCCAACCTGTGCGGCGATAACAAGTTGGCAGACAATCCAAAGGGACATGAGATTGAAAAACCTTTTTAAACTCGGGACCAAGATCAATTATCGGATTGTGCGGGGATTTTCTCGCAGGGTTCCGCATCACGGAGCCTTCCTTGACTGTGTACAGGTCGGACTGCAGAATTATCTTATAAGTTACGTCTAACGTAAAAATTTAAGCACATATACCTGGACCAACAACAGATCCGACGTTGCTTTGACAGGCAGAAACCTCGACCTCGGAACGTTGATACCGATGGCATTGTCAAAAAACTGCAGTAGCGCACTTCATATAAAAATCAAATGCCTTTTAAAACACGTACTCGTATTGCAGCTCCTGCTGCAGTCTCAAGTTGTAAAACCTTGACGCCACTCACTTCCTGTACCAAGCACAGCATGAAAACTGATTATGGCTTGCAATCGTACCTTGGGGTTCGGAATGATTTCCATTTGCAGGGCCCCTTCCAAGACCAATCGATTGATGGCTTTCAAGTTCACCCACCTATTATTTTAAAGGATGACAAGCGGCAAAAAAAATGCATCGTCCTTACAGATTATTGGTGTTGAAGATCTTGAACTTGTCGATGGACTTAAATTCACCCACCTACAATACAAAGTGACTTTAGCCAGTGTCAAGGATTTAAAAGGCACTTACATGCTCTTCAGGGACTTGCGCGATTTCTAGTAACTGCAAGTTTGATCGACATGAGCAGCCATATGCTGACAAAAACTTACTTGTACTCTGCCTTCATAAGATATCAGTGTTCCACCTTTCACATCGGCCAATGTTTTTGGCGTAACCTGAGTAAAAACCTTGATAATGAAATGCAGAAATTTGGAGACGTGTTTACCTCCATGCAGTACTGGTTCTTATGCTTAACGAGATGGTTCAAAATTTCTGCAAAACGTCAAGGATCTCAAAGATTTTACAAACAGAAACTGAAGGATACTGAGGTCGACTGTGGCTCCCAAATTATCAGCGTTTGCTATAAACACGTATTCTTTGCCCTGTCAGGCACTACATGGAGCTCCGATGACGAAAGTGAAAGAAAATACCTGTGCGACCAGTTTATCAAGAACCTTACTGTTGACAAGAGCCGGGAAAACGTCCCCGTGCCCAGGAGGATACCTGTGAACCAAAAACTTACAAATGCGCAGAGATTGAACCATTTCAATGTACCAGCCGTCCTTGTCAGTCTTGCCTTTTGATGGCCAAGGCATCACGTCTTCGGAAACGATACGTGGGTATTGGCTCTAAAAGAACATGAATGTGAAGACGCACGTACTTTGTGTACAAACCTGCTTAAAAGTGATAATATCCAAGCTTGAATCCTTGTACTTTTTCAATATCTGCAAAAACCGACATAAAAAACATGGAGTTTTCCACGCTCCAAACACACCTGTTCTGTATCTTCATCTGTGTTGAACGAGTTAAGAAGCACCAAAGGCACGTTCGAGCCATATTTGCGGTTAAGAACCTGAACAAGCGCAGACGTGGTTTTCTAAAAAAGTAGAGAACGAAATCGATACTACCTCTAGCTGCTGCACAATCAAGTCGAGGAACGTCTGACCGTCTCGCACTTCGATGACAGATCTGCCAGAAAAATTGGAAGCAAGCATCAGCTGTATGAAAAATATAAATAGGTAGAGCACTTACTTGGGACCAGTACAGCCCATTGTCGTTCCAAGACCTCCATTGAGCTTTAGAACAACAAGCTTGTCAAGCAAAGCCTTGGTCGCCGCGGGATCTAAAACAAGATGATAAAATGAAAATAGCTACAAGCGATCATATGCTCACCAGAAGGCGCAGGCTCGAGATCTTCATAAGGAACAACGTCCTTATTGGTAGGAGGCTGGATTTTTTCCCACTTAATCTGCTCGCCTTTGTCACTGTATTCCAATGCTCGAGCTCAATGCGCTTGAAGCAAATCAAAAAATTCCATCCACAATACCTAAGGTATCGTTGCACAAGACTCACAAATCCCTTCTTCTCGCTCTCGCTGCGATCGAAGAATCCATGAGCGGCCGGGCGCCAGAGCTCACAAATCTCTCACCTGATCTGATCCAATGTCCCCAGCTCCATCCAGATCTTGTCAATGATCTTCGCCGGCGCTTCCGTAGCTGCCGCCATGGAATCGTGCTGCGATTCTAGAAATCGAGAGGTCGCGCATCAGAAATGCCGGGCCACGCAAGAAAATATTTTTACTCACCGCTCAACAGCCCAAATGAGAAAGAGGAGCAAATCAAAGCAGCCCTCTTCTTTCTTTGTATAGCAAAAACTTTTTATAACCAGCCTAAAATTTAACGGGTTAGCGCCTTTAACCGGAATACTTAATGCAGCATCCAGCTTTGCGTGGATGCAAAGCCCAAACAGCGCCACGTGTAGCGAGCAAGGCTGTGCCACTTGGAGTGATAATAGCCCAATACAAATGTACACAGTTATTTACAAGGGAAGCTCCCAGGGCATATCCCTCCAGTAGGATATCCATTCTCTAGTTTTTGCGTCTCTGGAGTTCTAAGCGATGGTGAAAGCTCGGATCACTTCCACGATTGGAGCTCGGCACATCGGGCATTTGGAGCCACCATTCTTTAGTTGATTCGCACACCTCAAGCACGTACACATATGTCCACATCTGTGAGAGCCAGCCAATCTGTGAGAAGGAAAAAAGAGCCAACAAAAAAAAAGAGCTCGAAACTTTACTAACCTGTAAAGAAGTGAATCGATCGACTTATCACAGCAAATGCAGCAAGTTCCTTTCTTAACCGGTATCCATTGCGATCCATCGCTACTTCGCTCTGGTAGTCCTGAAAAGAGAGTGTTTTTCTACGTTGTGCTTCAGCTAGTCGAGCGTACCTTTACCAGCAGAGTACATGCGCTGGAGAGCACCAGCAACCTCCTGGCGGATCGAGCGTTGCAACTCCATTTGCATATCCACAATTGTCTCCACCATTCGCTGCAAGTCACCGAGGCCTTGCTGCAGATAGGAGATATCAGCTCGCAACTGGCTTGCGTTGTCCCAAACCTGGAATGGGAATGAAGCTTGGTTGGAAACAAAGGGAGGAAAGAGAAGTAACGATAAGTTACCATGTATGACGAAGATGGACGAGGCCACTGGCCATGAACGAATTCCCGCTGCCAAAGCCTTTGTATTGGCAGGGGCGGAGGTGGTGGAGGGATCGTAGGACGCTGTTCGGGTCGCTCTGTTTGTGCCTCCGGTGCGACGTCATTCTGTGGTTGAGCAGCGGCGTTGTTGTTCTCAACCGGCCAGGGAACTTGCCTGTGGATGAAAGATCTGATGAGCTGATCCAGTCGCTCTCGAAACTCACTCGCCAGCACGTTTGTGACACTTCTCCTGTGAACAGAACAATAAAAGCTGACTGACAACCACTCTAAGCAAATCGAAGAAAGCTCAAACCTTCCGAGTAGTTCCCGTAGTTCCACGTTATACGCGGTGGCCTCCTCCAACTCATTCATTCTTCGAGCGGCCGTCCATGTCCTGTCGTGTTCATCAGACGTTTCAGGACTGTCCTCGAGATTTGTAGCTTGAACACGAACGACTGACTCCAATCTTGAACGGAACCCCTCCCTGCTTTGTTCAAGTGTTAAGAAACATGCACTCACACGTTGAATTGGATCACCTTAGCCCGCTGACGGCTCGCCTCTGCCTGAGCTGGCCCAGTTCTCTTGCAGCTGATGATATATGACGTTCTTCTTCTTCATGTCTGCCGCCATTAGCCAGAAATCTGCCTCGCAATAGCGACTGGAGAGGACAAAAAAATGTTCAAAACAAACGCAGAAAATATAGAGATAATTTACTTACCTGAAGTCTCCCACGGTGAGGGAACCTCGAAACAACCCGATTCTCCGATAGCCCTTCGAGTTCTTGTTGCCTCTCCCTCTCTGTTCTTATAAGGAGGTCCAATATCAGTTGTCTATCACGACGACGTTGAGACTCCCAGCTTTCGTTGGTTGTAGTGTCATCCGTGCCTGAGACTTCTCTTGGTGCAGTAGGACGCAGCCACTCCCTTGCGAGCTGCCTCACTCTTTCTCTCTCGTTCAAATCGAGCAGCTCGTTTTGCTCTCGTCGCGACTGGTTGATCTGGTCGTCGGTGCCAACTCTCTCGTTCAGCCAACGATTCATAATTTGTCTCACGCTCTGGCGAGACGTGCCACCACCGTCGTCAGCTACCTGGCGTGTCTCGTCATCTCTAGAAGCATCAAAGCTTCCAGGTATTTCGTCCACTCTGGAAGCCGGAGTTTGCTCCTCACCATCGTCGGGACGAGGAGTCTCGGCGGTTGTAGTAACAGTAGCAGTAGCGTCTTCTCTCTCAGCTTCACTGCTCGCCACCCTTCTCGAAACACCCCTTCCGACACTCCTTTCGTCTTCCAATCCCCTCCACATTTCCAACAAAGGCGATGGTCGACGCTGGTGATCGAGCCTCTCTCCTGACGAAGGTGGCGGAACCGAGTCTCTCAAAAACGAAGAGTCGAGCATCGACACTGCATGGAGCCCGGCAAGAGCTAGAAGCTCCGCTTGCCGGGCTTGCCGCTCCATAGTGGTGATGACGTTCTGTGCTTGTCTATCATACCACCGACGAAGAATCTGCGACGGCCTCCCCGTGAAATCATCGTCCACCCGTCCTTCCTGCGACTCGGCGTTGCTACCACTGTTTCTATTGCCCTCTTCTTCGTCAAACGAGCCACAGCCATCACACTGGAGCTGGAAATCCAAATCCTCGCGGTTTGAGTTGCTGGTGCTGCTCGACGCAAGCGCCATACAGTTATCGAAATGGTCACGCACCAATTCTTCCAATCCCCGCCGGAATTCCGCGTCCACGGATTGTTTGTCGGGAGCTTCTCCTCCTTCCTTTTGTTGCAACTGGATCATGGTTGCGATTTTCTCGTCCAAAGTCCTGTCTCCTCCCTCTTCAATCCCAGCAAGTCCCGGCATTTTCCCTCTTCTCACTGTGAATCAAACGAAGAGAAATCTTATCCCCTATCGGCGATAACCTAGCTAGCCAAAGCACTCACCTGAAATGCGAGGATCGATGACGAAGAGCGCGCTGAGCTAAAACCACTTGCGAAAGCTCCCACTGATCGCCATCAAGGGCGCGAATTGCTGGCGATTTCGCGAGTTCCAGCGCAGCGGCACAATTCGTGACGCATCCATCGCCGGGGTCCCCTGCCAGTGGCGCCGCAGCTCCGAATCATCGGCAGCAGCTCCATGGCCATCGATCGCTCGGCCGCGCCCTCTCTTCCCCGCATCCCACAAACACTCGCAAACCAATAAAAATAAAACCCAAATAAGTCTCGGGGTCGAGTCCAAAGGGCCACAAAAGCATCTTTGTGAATATTCACCGTCTTTGAATTTGCAAAACTGCCGGGAAAACGCGAAACGCATGAGAAGGGTATTTATTTTTCGTTCTTTACTTTCTTGAAATTTTGAAATGCTACATAGCTTTTTGTGTAGTAGTAGTAGAAAAATCTTCCAATCCTACGCATAGTTTTCCCTCTTGCCAATCCCAAAATGAAGACTGCTGCTATCTACATGAACGCTGTGATTGTGAAGAACCAAAAAGCGATGATCTCTCCCAAAAACCGTGAGAGGAAGAAAGGGCAACGATCGCTCCAAGAGAGAGAGCGATGATCTCTCCCAAACGAGAGTGAGAGAGCGAGACAACGGACGAAAAGAACCAGAACCAAAAAGAGAGGAGAAATTTCGAGAGGAATGAGCGAGATTGAGCGAGCGAGAGAGAGAAAGAGAAGGAGCTCTAGCTCTGATTTGGGCAATCGCGAGCGAAATGTCCCTGCTTCCCGCAAGAGTAGCACCCGGCTCTCGCGACGCTGCAATCCCTCGCCAGATGCCCCGGCTCGTTGCAATTGAAGCACCTGCCACCGCCATAGCCGAATCCTCCACCGATGCCGCCGCCGCGCGATACCATGCCCATCCCACGCCCGCGGCCTCTTGCGCCGCCCCTGCCGCCACCATTGTTATTGTAGCCGCCGGCGCTGTTGCTCATCGATCCATTGCCGCCGCCGGAGCCATCGTCTTCCCTTGCCGCCCCCTCCACGAACGCGCCTTTGGGACCAGTGACATTCCCAGCGCGCATCCGGCCGTCCTGGCCGAGCTCCACCACGTACTCGACGATCTCGCCCTCGCGCAGCGATCGGAATCCCTCGGCGTGGATGCTCGTCTGGTGGACGAAAATATCTGGCGAGCCGTCATCCGGGGTGATGAATCCAAACCCTCGCGTTGGACTGAACCATTTCACCTTGCCGAACATCAGATCCTCCACATTATCGGCCCCGGCCTCCGGATTATCCATCGCGGCCGCCTTGGCAGGCACGGGATTGCTGTTCTTGGATGGTTGCTGCTGCTGCTGCTGCTTTACGGGCGACGCCTTCGATCCGGCAGCGGCCGCCGATCCAGACGCCTTCTTGCCACCGTCCGCCATGGATCGCTCAACAACTTCGGCCGATCGATCGAAGCACGAGCTCTATCAAACCCTAATAAGCACCTCTAACGCTTATTCTGGCGATACCGGGCCACTAAAACTAGAGCCCACCGACGGCCACGATGGAGGCCCCTCCCTGGCCAGCGGACGGCCGGATGACGCCTCTGCGTTGTGGCGCTAATTTAAGGCAATGCATGGCTTCCTCTAAATAAATACCCACCCCAATCACTCTTAAACCTCGTCCTTCCAGTCTAGCCATTTGTGGAGCACTCTTTGGAGCTCCTGTTTCGTACAGGGCTTCCGTACGTAGTCGTCCATGCCACACTCCAGACACTTTTCTAGCTCGCTTTCCATGGTGGCTGCCGTCAATGCGACGATTGGAGTGAGCTTCTGCTTCGATCGGATCAAGCGAGACGCTTGGAAGCCATCGAGAACCTGGAAAGTTTCACCAAGATACAGTCTGAGTTTCTAAGCAACAAGATCTTCCATACCGGCATATGGCAGTCCATGAAGATGAGATCATACTCAACTGGCTTGTCCACGATCGACACTGCCTCCTGGCCATTGCAAGCGACGTCGACGGTGCAGCCGAGATTGTTGAGCAGCCGGATCGCCACCATTTGGTTCACCTTGTTGTCTTCCTAAAAGTTTCGCGAGAAATGTAGAAAGTAAACGATCATTGTCTGTGGAATTGAGCGAAAAAAACTTACGACAACAAGGACTTTGGGGTGTCTTCTGGTTTGAGCCTTGTCCCCGGCCTTGGATCTGTTACTGCTCGCCAACGCAGGCCCTGGAGTAGAAGATTTTGCTTGTGAGAATATCAAGAGAACAAGGAAGTTACGTGAGGCTTCTTCGAAGCTTTTAAAGCCGAGAAGATTAAAGGTCTTGAGGAGTGCATCTTTGAGCGTCGACTGTCGCAGCGGCCTGCTGAGGGTACAGCTGAATCCATACGCCTCTTGAGCATTTACCCGGTGTCCTACGGGCTTGAGAAGTATAAACTTCGTGCCTGGAAACTCCTCCGCGATTCTTTTGATCTGGAGTTTCTTTTGAAACGTCTCGACGAGGACGTTATCAACCACAGCAACTGGAAAAATTCAGAAAATTCAGAAACAAAGAAACACCTTCAAGAAGCTTTGGTAGTACCATGGAATCGATTCGCAAGCAGTTTGAGCGCACTGGCAACATCTCCGGAACACTGGCATTCAATCCCCCAGCTCTCAATCTGCTCACACATGACTTGCCTGGTGATCTTGTGATTGTCGATGACCAGAATTCTAGGCCGTGCTTGGAATCTGCTACTATAAAGAAGTGGAACTTGATGCCGGTTCTTCTCAGAGACAACATCAATCTCCAAAGGTATACTAAAAGAGAAAGTCGATCCAACACCTTCACGACTTTCCACAACAATCTCACCACCCATGAGCTCGACCTGTGTACGGTTGAACCGGGATTGAATACGGACAACATTGAGAAACTTTGCATACCAGGCTCTTTGACACGGCCAAGCCCAAGCCCGTCCCACCATACATGTTGCTCGTCAGCTGATCACACTGAGAAAACTTCTCAAACAACAGCCCCAGCTTGTCCTCCGCGATTCTGGAAATTGTTTCTGTCAGCTTTTAAATGATACGGTCCAAAGACCTCACCCGATGCCAGAATCAGATATTGAAAACTTGAAGTATTCCACCGGCTTGACATGTTTTGCATCGCTGTCAAGTTCACGTCCCTGCTACTACACACGATCTCAAGCTTTTTACTTCGAAAAGAAACGTTACTGAGAAAGAAATCCACCTTAAAGGAGTTAACATCCTTGCTGCAACTCCGACATTCCCAGAAATCCGTGGCCTTGAGTTGCTTCTGGCAACTCTTACACAGCAAACTCACATTAACGAGAATGTGTCCCGCGTGCGTGAACTTACAAGAATTTCCGATGAGGTTTATAAGAACCTGTAGAAGAAACAAAAATAAGTACAAAATATAAAGAAAGAAAAACTCTACCTGACGCAATCGTATTGTGTCCACTGAGACGGCAAAGAAAGGAGAGTCATAATGGACTACGAGCTCCACCCCCTTGGGTTCCACACGAAGTGCCAACATGCTTCCAACATCTTCTACAAGACTGCGAAGGTTGCACGGGACTGGCGCAATTGTCAGCTTCCCAGCATCGATTTTCGAGAAGTCCAGAATGTCGTTTATTATCGAAAGTAAGCACTCCCCGGAAGTTCTAATGGTTTCCAGGCATTCTTCCTGATCCGGAGTTGGATCAGTGTCCAGTAGAACAGAGGCCATCCCTATCACACCATTGAGCGGCGTACGGATTTCGTGGCTCATCACCTGAAAGAAAAGAAAAGAAACACTTTCAAACACTCGCATGAAAATATGAACTTACAGCTAGAAACTCTGATCTGGCTTTGGCAGCAGATTCCGCCTTGTCTCGAGCTTCGGCCAGATTTGCTATTAGCCTCTCCTGCTCCTCTTCCCATCGGATTCTTTCCGTGATGTCACTTAATGAGCCAGCCATTCGAAGTGGATTTCCTTGTTCATCCCAAAGCGCTTGACCTCTCAACCGAAACCAGCAGTACTTGTCTTGGCTCGTTCTAATCGGTGTCTCGATGTGAAAAGGGGACCCAACTGTTTTGTGAGCGGCTAAATAGTCTTTGAGCGCGGTCTGGACACAATCTACAAAGAAAAACAATGAAACATCGGGAAGAAGAAAACAAAAAAACCAACCTCGATAGCTTGAATGAAGCCTGTTTATAAGCACATCAAGCGTGTCTGCACAACTCTGCTCGATACCAAGCATGTTCTTGCAACGCGCTGAGTAGAACACCTTGTTGGTTCTGATGTCCCAATCCCACAAGCCATCGTTAGAACCACGAACAGCAAGAGCAAAGCGCTCCTCACTCAATCTTAACGATTCTTCAGCCTCCTTTCGCCATGTAATATCTTCGATGATTCCTACATGGCTACACCCGATGAAACTCGAGTTAAGTAAACGTATCAATCCATCAGAAAAACAAGGAAGACAATCAGAATTTCTACACACCTTTCGTTCTCAAAACAACCTGGCATGTCCACTGATTGGCAATTCACCCATCTCCAGCTGCCATTTTTGTGTATCAGCCTGAACTCGACATTCAATCCTCCCTCCCGCAGTGTGATTGCTTGATCCCAAACTTCCTGAATTTCCATTTTCAAAACGAAGGACGGAAAAGGAAAAAAACGAGAGAAAACCCACACCTGAAGATCTTCTGGATGAACGTGTTCGACCCATCTCAGACCAAGCAACTCCTCTTGGGAGCATCCTGTCATGTTTTGGTAGGCAGCGTTTGTGAAAGTGTTGTGTGCATCTGTGCTGCAGATAAAAACCCCTCTGGGAACATTAGTCTTTGGCCCTCTGGCCATGAAGTTCACCACTGGCCCTTCTCTGGTCACTACAACGCCACTATTTTATGCTGCAACCCGCGTGACTCTGCAAGATAAGAAATTATGAACTGGCTTGCAGCTGCCAAAAAATTGACTAAGGGATGAAGTCCAAGCACAACACTCACTGGAAAGGCGAAAGAAACAACACAACACACTGTGTATGAGCACCGCAGACGTAAAGCTAAAAGAGTCAGAAACTACCAGCCTAGCTCTCATGCACACATACACGATTCAACTCAAGGCTCTGTCCTTTGCCAAAGAAAATATAAAAAACACAGGAAGCACAGGAAACATCGAAACGAGAGGCGGAACAACTTGCCGAAAAGCTTCCCATCCATGCAACAAGGCCACTGTCGTGATCTAGAGCGAGCTCACGTGAGTGACTGTGTAAAGCCCCATTCCCGCTATTTAGGCACAGTTTCTCCAGCTGAACAAAGGCAACAGTTTAGAGAAAAGCATCCAAAGTTCATCCACGGAGAAATTGCTCACCTACATTTTCTTCACCGCATTTTTTTTCCCATGTTTTTCTTTCAGCTCTCGGCGCAGAAACTGCGTGTTCCAGCGACAAGTGGATGCGTCGTTCTCTGTATCAACCCGTGTTGACTTGAACAGCCGAAGTACTAGCACCTGAAAACGATGGAGCAAGAAAAAAAAAATCTCTCAGTGGCTCCATAAACACCACACATTAAGTATCACGTACCCAAACTAGAGGAAAAAAGCCCCTTCCTTGCGCTTGCGCCGGTGCCGATAGGATGATCCATCATCCGGCTTTCCGTGGGCCCGAAAGACAATGCTTGGACAAGAAATAGAGATAAAGCCTCAAACCACTCGCGATCATATGATCCCTACGAAGAAAGCCTCAAACCTCTCGCAATCGTATGATCCCTACGAAGAAGAAAATCGTACCTCTCTCCGAAAATTCCTCTCCTTCGTTGCGCGTCCATGCCATGGCCTACCAGATCCATTCTAGGGCTTATGCCCACTCCCGCCCAAATCAACCGGTCGAGCGCTCGAATCCCAGCACAAACTTGTGCACAACCATTCTCGTGTTCGACTCCTGGGAACTCGAAATTCCACTTCAGATTTTAGGGTTCCAGCGAAACCCTTGGCGCTTCCTTCCCCGCGCGGAGGTGAGGGGGATTATCAATCCAATCCAGCAATGCGGCGCCGGCAGCTATAGCATTCGAGATCTCTAGGATGGGGCGGCCGCTCGTCTACGACATCATCGACAGGCCCGCTAGCAGCTGCCTGATCGCGCTGTGCAGCGCGGTGTGGCTCTACATCCAGCACCGGAGCATCGGCTACGCGGAGGTTGGGATGAGCTACGAGACGGTGGTGCTCCAGGGGCAGTACTGGCGGATCCTCACCTCCTCCTTCTCGCACATAAGCTTCCTCCACCTCGTCTTCAACATGAGCGCACTGTGGAGCCTGGGCATGGTGGAGGGCCTCAAGGGGATCGGCCTGGGGGTCACCTTCTACGTCCACTACACGCTCCTTCTGGTGCTTCTCTCGGCGGCGCTCGTCCTGGGGATCTACCACCTCCTCATCCATCGCTTCAACCTGGAGCTCTACAAGCGTGTCTCGGCGGTGGGTTACTCGTGCGTGGTTTTCGGCTGGATGACGATCCTGGCGTCCAAGCAGCCATCGTCCAAGCTCGAGCTCTTCGGCCTCCTCTCGCTCCCCATCAACTTTGCGCCATTCGAGTCGCTGGTTTTCACGTCCATCATCGTCCCCAAGGCCAGCTTCCTGGGACACCTCGCCGGGATCATTGTCGGCTACTTGATCGCGTGGGGGTCGATCCAGGGGATGACGAACTACTGGTTTGTATCGCTGCTGGCGTGGATGGTCTTGCTGCTCGGGCTCAGCATCCACAGGACGTCGTCGTATCAGTTTTGGTTTCTCCAGATCGAGCCCGTCGCAGATCCCAGCGTCCCGCAGCTCTCCAACTCTCCCACGCTGCTGCAAAACTCTTCGTTTGCTACTGCTCCACCGGTTTTTGGAAGCCAACTCGTTTGATTCAGATGGAAACGAAGTAGAGTTGACAACTCCGAGAGAGGTAACTACCAGACTCTTCTCTCATCGTTTCATGCTTGCTCTCGCTTCCATTAGGCTCTTTGTTTCGCTCGATTGTTTACCTAAGGCTCTGCGACTGCGTCCAAGTGCATTGTCTTCGGTTCTCCACGTTTCAAAGAATGGTAACTTCTTCTTGTCGTTCTGCTTTTGCTTTTTGTTCTTTCTCGTTGTGTGTAAACGTCTTATGGTGCAGGGGCTCAAGATGGAGGTGATTCCACTCGCTCACAAAGCCATTGAAATTCCTCGGAGATAGAACAGAAAAAGCGTCGTTTTTTTCTTATTCTTTTCGAGCGAGATTTACAGTGTCTGCGCATTTGAGAAAGCTTGTCTGAACCTAGGTCCAATTTAGGGTGTGATCACCAACTACACCATCCAAACATTGTTCTTTATTTCTTCAAGAAATTATAAAGACTTCACATGCAGCTTTTTTAAATGATTAAATTTCTGTGGAGCTCTAACAAAATATACTTGTGAAAATCCGTATATACTGAACAGAATATATTTAACAGACCAAATAAAATATATGTCTTATAGAAGATGTTCTTTTGATAAAGATTTGAGAATGTTTCTTCATGCGGCATTATTATGATTCTAGTGAAATTGCCAATGAGATCCATGAGGCGTCACAACGATAACCCCCGATTACTGCCGAATACACTGAACGCTCGATGGTGAGATCTCACATAATCAGCCTTGAGGCTTTTCTAGGGCTCATTTTTGTTTGGCGATTTTCCTACTTAGGCCGCTCCGGGAGTGCGATGCTGATCCGGCATATGCCTCTGCTGCTGTCCAAGCGCATTGTCTTAGCTTCGGCTTCTCCACGTCGCTTTGAGCTGTTTCAAAGAATGGTAACCTTTTTTCTCCGTCTTCGCTTTGTTTTGTATGCTCCTCCCCTGGCAGGGGCTCAAGGTGGAGGTAATTCCATCCACGTTTGAGGAGACACTGGACAAGCTGCAATATGCGACTCCTGGAGGTGAGAAAATATTTTTGTAGCGCTTTGCTTACAAGCGCTGTGACAGACTATGCTGCGGAGACCGCCACTCACAAAGCCATTGAAGTTTCTAGGAGATTGATACAAGTAAGAACAGAAAAGCGTCATCTTGTCACTATTCCTGGGGTTCTAATTGAGTTCTTTCGTTTTTCAGCTCGAGAGCCAGAGGAACGTGGATTTAATCGTTGGAGCTGACACAGTCGTGGAGCTTGACGTGAGAAATCCCTTTCTTTTTCTCATTGCTGGCGTGAGACGCTGTGTAGGGAATGATTCTGGAGAAGCCTCGCGATGAGAAAGACGCCTTTCGAATGCTGTCCCTGTTGAGCGGTACGTCTATCGGTTTGCAACTCACACAAAAACGGAGGCTTTTCCACAGGCCGACAACACAAAGTTTACACAGGAGTTGTGATTCTCCTGCCGCATGCCACAGGTTCTCTAGATTTGCTTCCCTATCTATGGCCTCGTTTCAATCCAGGTTTCTAGATCCCACGCTCGGACAGGCACCATTGTTACGATCATTCTACGAGGAGACTGCTGTAAAATAAGTTAGGGTGCTCTCGAGCTCTCAAAGTTTTTCCCTCTTCTTACTGAAGGTGGAGTTTGGTAATCTGGACGAGGCTACCATCACAGCATACATCGCGACCGGGGAGCCCATGGACAAAGCTGGCTCTTATGGCATCCAGGTTCCTTTGCCTTTATCCTCTTCGCAATTCATTCAATGCCTTGCAGGACGCGGGCGCCTCACTCGTCAAGTCCGTCAATGGATGCTTCTACAACGTCGTTGGCTTCCCAATCCACCGGTGAGTAGTCTCTACGCCTCCTCCCCTTGCGTAGATGTTCATAAAATCAGTGCGTTTGCAGGTTTTGTCTGGAGTTGGAGAGTCTCATCGGGAGTGGAATGCTCCGGGAGAACAATCCAGCACCGACAGAGCTCTGAAATTTGCCTGCCACTAAATATCTAGAGAAAGACGAGACGAGGCGGCTTCTCGCTCCGCCCCGTCTCGGTGCAAGAAGCTCTCTCAAAACTCCAGATGAGATGAAAGGGTGGCCATGCTATCTCTTCGGCAAAAAGAATTTTTTTTTGTGTTTTTGCTCAAATGGATCATCGCTCGTCATGCATACAATGCCGCGTCGGCTTCTGCTTCCCGGCTGGACTCTTCCTCCTCTGGATTTTTCCCCAGCTCGCTCAATTCCCAGCGAAAATCTCGTCACATTTAACCACAGTTCACCGTGGTCGGATCTAATCACAGGATCGATCATTAAGTATACCCCTTGGGAAGAGGCATCGATGGAGGAAGGAGAGGAGTTCGTCTCTAGACACACAAAAATAAATTGTATGTTGTGTACTTTATGTAAGTTCATGTGCGAAACCTTTTACATAAGATAAAATTCCCACTAAATGTATGTGCAAATCCAAATAAAAAACATTACAAAAATAAAAAGTTAAATAGTGTACTAAACTTTATGAACAGTAGTTCTAAAGTTAAAACATAAATTTATAACAGAGTTTTGTTTAAATCTTCAAAGAGTAGAATAGTTTTTGCATTGTTTGGCCATAATATATATAACAGCAAACAAATAATTCCAATTCTGCTGAGCTTGTCTGTATTATTCTTCATCAATCTTATTCTATTTTTAATCATTTAAAAGTATACTCCTTTTCTGAAAACAAATCTTTTATCCACTCGAATATACCAAATAAGTTGCCTTGAGATGTTAGAGCTTTAAACAAATGGAGCACCTTCCAACCTTATCTAAACCTGTAATTTATGAACCTATGCTGTCCAAAGCTAACAGAATAACTACTTTAGTGCTGATCCTCTCTCTATATTTATTGTCCTTGCAACTATAACTTAGTTCATATGTTGCAACATTGTGTTCTTACCTCTTAGCCTTGTGCTAACATATCTCATTGGCTTTTTAGAACATGTTTTAAGCCAAAAACTGAAGTGTAGTGAAAGGTTGAATCCATTTTGATCTACCATGACCTCAATGGAGCTCACTCTCATATGGATACTTGTATCTAGCTTGATCTTCTTTCTTGAATCTTCTCATGACTTACATGATACAAATACATTAAACTAAATAATATTCTAGTGTCACTTTGGAGAATGGATTTTATTTAAGTTTTGTAATGTTATTATATTGATATAACTACAAAAAATAATGTTAGTTTTACTGAAAAAAAAGATTGTCTTCTATGTCATCAGTAATTATGGATTAGGTTTATAATAATTTTTTAAAAAGCCAGATATAGTGTAATATAATAAACCATATATTGAAAGTCAGATTGTGTTCCAATTTTATAATAGTGCTTTAGAAAGAGAATCATATTATCATATACATCAAAAACCATATTGAGTGTCAATTTCATAACAATGTTTGAGAAAATCATGGTTTAGTATATTAGATATTGTAAATCATATCCTTATATTTTATCTTTCAATATAAATAACATTTTGTTATATATATCTAATGCAAAT